TGAAACTCCCAGGCATCAGGGCCATGTCCTTACCTCAGCGTCCGGGGAAGGCTTCCCCGCGACGAGAAGAAACATTTGACTCGTATCGCGAATCTTCCCGGAGGCGCCACCGTACCCGCGAGTCGACAGGCCACCATGATCCCGAAGACAGCTCCCCGTCGGGACATCGCCATCACCGGCACCATCGCTCACGCAGCTCCAGGAGACGAAGCGATGCGGATGTGGAGAGGGGCGACTGGGGGACAGACTCGAGGAATCGAAAGAGCTTCGTGAAACCGGAACGCACCCGAGTGGACCAGAACCATCCTCATTACCACTATCGCCAGAAGTCGCAGAACATGCCGACCTACCCGTCCCAGACCGGGGACGAGCCCATGATGGGTCGCGAGCAGGAAGCGGACACAAATAGCTCGCGAAGCTCGGAATCGAAAGGGAAGACAGGTGTATACGTCACTCAGGGAAATGTCAATCAGCCGATGGAAAGGGCCCCTAAAAAACGTCGCATCAAGAAGAGAAGACCATCTCGCAGAATCAAGAAGAGGGCTGCTGCAGCAGAAAAAGAACGCCAGAAGGCGCTGGAGCAGGTCCGGCCACCCAGTCCCTGGACCACGTATTGCGCCATCATCACTTTCTGGGCCCCCGATTTTATCCTGAGGTGCTTCGGCATGCCGCAGAAGGCCCAGAGAAGCGCCTGGCGGGAGAAGATTGGGTTGATCAGTATCATCTTGCTGATCGGGGCATTCGTCGGTTTCCTCACTTTCGGTTTCACGGCCACCGTTTGCGGCACTCCCCCGACTCGGCTTAGGGTCAATGAAGTCAGTAGTAGCTACATGATCTTCCACGGTCAGGCATACGACTTGTCGCACTCGACGCACCCAGCGGCCGCGGGCATTCCGGCTGGGACTAACGTGCTTTGGGACCTGTCGCATAAATACGGAGGCCAAGACGGTAGCTTCTTCTTTCAGGAGGTCAATGGGGAGTGCAAGGGCTTGATTACTCTTGCCGATGGATCCGATGTGCCGACAAACTCAGATGGCGACCTTGCGTGGTACTTCCCGTGTCATGCGTTCAACCAGGACGGTTCGTCCGAGCCGAACACGACGGAGTCTTACTACCTCGGCTGGGCCTGTCACACTTCCGGTTCGGCTCGTAAGTCGTTCTATAACTTGAAAAGCTCCGGTGACGTGTATTACACGTGGGAAGACACCAAGAATAAGAGCAGGAATCTTGCCGTCTACTCTGGCAATGTCTTGGATTTGGATCTTCTACGGTGGTTTGACACAACGCAGGTCAAATATCCGAAGAAATTTGATGAGCTTCGCGAGAACTCGGCCGTGCGCGGGGTCGATCTCACGTACTATCTGCAGACTGGCGAGGAGAAAAAGATCGGCAAGTGTTTGTCTCAGATCATCAAGGTCGGCAGCATCGACACCGACACGGTCGGCTGTATTGCTTCCAAGGTGGTGCTTTACGTATCACTGATCTTCATCCTCTCGATTGTTGTGGTGAAATTTATCTTTGCTTTGCTTTTCCAGTGGTTCCTGGCCAAGCAGTACGCCCCAGCTCGGACTAGCATGGCGGCTGACTCCAAAACGCGGAATCAGCAAATCGAGGACTGGTCGAACGATATCTACCGCCCGGGACCACGAGTCGCAGACCCGACTATGCTGGAGCGGCCCGGTAAGAGGGCCAGCTTCTTGCCTACCACGTCTCGCTTCTCCAGTCCATACACCGTGAGCAACGGGGGCAAGCAGAAATATCAATATGTGACGATGGCCAGTCAGAATTCGACAACCCGCTTGGTACCCGGTGGGAGCAACTCCGTATACAGGCAGAACTACAACGAAAGCGGAGGTAGTTTGACGGCTGATGGTTCGCGCCATGCCAACTCAGCGAGTCGATCTAGCTTGGCACTTCAGGACTCTCGGTACTCAACTGCGATGCCGGAATCGGAGTCTGCTGGATTAGGTGGCTTCGTTCATGAAGCGGTCATTCCTCAGCCCCCTCCCGAGTGGCAGCCGTATGGTTTCCCCTTGGCTCATTCTTTATGTCTGGTAACTTGTTACTCGGAAGGTGAAGAGGGTATTCGCTCCACGCTGGACTCAATTGCCATGACAGACTACCCGAACAGCCACAAAACCATTATCGTGATCTGTGATGGAATGATTAAGGGTAAAGGCGAGGAGTTTTCCACCCCAGAGATTGTTCTGCGCATGATGCGTGATCCGATCGTCCCGATGGACGAGGTCCAGCCCTTCTCTTATGTTGCCGTAGCCACCGGATCCAAGCGGCACAACATGGCCAAGGTCTACGCCGGCTTCTACGACTACGGCGTAAACTCGATCATTCCCGAGGAAAAGCAGCAGCGCGTGCCCATGATGATCGTCGTGAAATGTGGGACACCGGCGGAAGCTACCCAGTCCAAACCCGGTAACCGTGGTAAGAGAGATAGTCAGATCATTTTGATGTCTTTCTTGCAGAAGGTAATGTTCGATGAACGGATGACGGAGCTGGAGTTTGAGATGTTCAATGGGCTTTGGCTGGTGACCGGAATTCCGCCGGACTTCTACGAGGTTCTTCTATGTGTCGATGCAGACACCAAAGTGTTTCCGGACAGTCTGACGCACATGATCTCGGCGATGGTGAAAGATCCGGATGTTATGGGACTGTGTGGCGAGACGAAGATTGCCAACAAGACCGACAGTTGGGTGACGATGATTCAGGTGTTTGAGTATGCTTCTCTTCTTCTACTTACTTCTCTGTTCTTATTGTGGGCCCAAACTAACCAACCATCTAGATACTTTGTGTCTCATCACCAGGCCAAGTCATTCGAATCTGTCTTTGGTGGTGTGACCTGTCTTCCAGGATGTTTCTCGATGTATCGTATCAAAGCGCCCAAGGGCGGGCAAAACTACTGGGTTCCCATTCTCGCCAACCCTGATGTGGTCGAGCACTACTCAGAGAACGTCGTGGACACACTCCATAAGAAGAACCTGCTTCTCCTGGGTGAGGACCGCTATCTGTCGACACTCATGCTCCGAACCTTTCCCAAGCGCAAGCAGATCTTCGTGCCGCAGGCCGTGTGCAAGACCCAGGTGCCGGACAAGTTCATGGTGCTGCTCTCTCAGCGCCGGCGATGGATCAACAGTACCGTGCACAATCTGATGGAGTTGGTGTTGGTGCGCGACCTCTGCGGAACCTTCTGTTTCAGCATGCAATTCGTCATTTTCATCGAGTTGGTGGGCACGCTCGTGCTGCCCGCCGCCATCGCCTTCACCTTTTATGTTGTGATCAACTCCATTGTCCACCGGCCCGTCCAGGTGTTGCCCTTGGTTCTATTAGCTTTGATCCTGGGACTACCAGGTGTGTTGGTGGTGGTGACTGCCCACAGGATGGTGTACGTGCTGTGGATGTTGATCTACCTGCTGTCGCTGCCCGTGTGGAACTTCGTGCTGCCGACGTACTCGTATTGGAAATTTGATGATTTCAGCTGGGGTGACACGCGGCAGACGGCGGGCGGCAAAGACAAGGGCCACGAGGCGGGCGAGGGCGAGTTTGACAGCAGTCAGATTACGATGAAACGGTGGCGGGATTTCGAGAAAGGTGCGTTCAAAGGCATGGCTTGCCTAACCTAATCGCTTCTTCCACCCTTCTCATTTCTTTCTTTAATACTTGCATTGAACCTGTACTAACATTGATTCCGAATAGACCGTCGCCTCCGCATGCAAATGCAAGCCAGCTATCCTCCCTACCAACCTCAGCATAATCCATACTCTGGGTAAATTAGTCGATGCGTGTTCGAGACGATTGTTTTTTATATTGTACAGTTTTGCTTTGTGTTTTTGTGTTGGGGGCAGACGGTAACTCCCTCGGAAATAATGCGCAAGCGAAGTTCACTTCTATTTCTTGGATCTAATCTTGATGTGGCAGATGGTCATCGAGCCGAACGGGGTAGTGGACATAGCAGGGTAATGAGAGGGGAAGCGGCAGCAAGATCTTGTGGGATGAGCTTGGTTTGGGGTTGTAACTATATATCGTATTCTACCCAGTCCTGACGATTTATGAACTCGAGTTTTGGTTCCTTATTTTGTTGTTTTCTAGTATTCTTCGACTGGCTGGTTGGTGTAGCTCAGCTGACTACGAGGGTGTGCAGTTGTCGTTATCTTGAAGTGCTCACGCATACAGATACCTATTACACAAACCGAGTTGATCCTGCTTGGTTCGTTCTTGATGTCTCCAAATCAACCCGCTACTACCATCTCTCAGACCTCCAGCTACGACCATAGTTTTCTCACAAGAGGGCAAGAGGACCTACTCCGCCTAGTCATGACCTGGCAGTTACTTTCGACACTGCCCTTCACCCGGCGGTTCCTTCCCAACCTTCCCTTCCGTCCACCTTCTCCCCTTCGAAGACCAAAAACCAACCAAGTCTGCAATCATCGATGTCTGGAGAAACCATAAACCTCACCTGGCCCATCCGTTCCTTCAAAGCGCGCTGCACGGACGCGCATCATCCTGAAGTGGAGGAGGTGCTGGGCCAAATTGACGACTTAGCTGCTCGAAATGATCCTGAAAACCATGTGTTCGAGCGCGAGAGCTCCGACTGCTTCATTCTAGACATCCTGCGGTAGACATGACACGAATCGACCCGTTAAACACTGTCCATTATGCTGCTTCCGACAAGTGATCGCACTTTTGACGCCTCGATATTGGGCTAATGGGAGTCTGTGATTTCGAGGCGGGGCGGAGGAAATGTGAGTGGTTCCACAGCATCAACCTCATTTGCCCTCAGTCCTTATGAGAACATTGGCATAGGATGACGGGCTTTACTTGATTTGTTCTGCTCAAAATATGGCAACATGAAGACTGCCACACAGCCACGATACCCCCTGTTCCCACTAAGAAAAGTCACGTGGTGGCTATGTGCTGGCACGCCTGTACGGGGCTGACATCGCTGTCCTTCCCAGGATTCGACCACGATAGATAGTCAATTTTCGACAATGGCTTCCACTCAAGATATTGGAAAGCATCGTTCCTTCTTGCGCTTTGCTCGGGGGATCAGAGAAAAGTTCGGATCGACAGGCCAAAGCAAGAAACAGAAGAAGATCCCCGGACTACTACCCAGCCATACAAGGAGTTCGACCGCCCCCGCTTTCTCCGGCGTGGAGGCTGTTACAAGTAATTACAGTCAAAGTGGCAGGGAATCGCAAACCGCCCTTGCAACGACTCTTCCCGCCTCGCCACCGCCGTCGGATCTCTGGCAAGAAGCACTGCAAAAGGCTCGAGAATCGAATGACTGGAAGGAGCATCAAGAGGAATACGACGAGGCCATTCGAGAATGCCAGGCCCACAATCAAAAACTCCTCCACAAGCAGGGCGGAGGTACGACTACCGACCTGGCCGATGCCATACTTGCCCGCCTTAGCTCACTTCACAAACAACACGATGACACGAGATGGGCATATGCAAAGGCTGATGGCGAGACAATCTACTTTCGAGACGTGGTCTTTCGGATCATGCAATGGGTGAAGGTCTTCAAGGACCCAGGAAACCTGCTGGCAGACTTGGATCCCACGAAAGCTGCCTCGGTAGTTTGGGGATTGGTACAGTTCTTCGTTGAGGTATGGTATCGACAGGCTGCCCATTGATTGGCTGGCTAATCGCGTTCTGCGTGGCGACAGAGGTCGATTGCTTACGGCGAGACACGCGATCTAGCGTTAGATCAAGAGCCTATTGCAAACCTGATCAGCCGATATGCCCTTGTGGAGAAGTTCTACCTGAGGAAGCGACCAGGGACCTCAATTGAGACAGTCGAACCGATCAAGGAGAAAGTAGTTGAACTCTACAGTGCGGTTCTTCTGTATCAATTGGACGTCTACAGGTTCTGGAAGCAAGGCAAGATAACTCACGGCATACAGAGCCTGGTGCCTCATAAGCTCAAAGATCTTTCCAATGCGATACAACAAAGATCGACACAGGTCGAGTCTGCACTCCGCCTGAATGACAGAGAGCTCTTGGGCAGCATCTTCGACAATGTTCAACTCAAAGAGCCAATTGCCAACATTGGCGGTCAGTTACAGCAGATTCTGGATATCGTAACCATCCTTCAAGAAGAGAAGTATTCAAAAGTGTTGGACTGGGTGTCACCGGTACGACACCTGGATCAGCATAGAACAATTAGGCCTATGGAGGGCACTGGCCAGTGGCTCCTTGGACACCCGCAATTTATGGACTGGCGACAATCACACCATTCCGGCCTTTTCTGGTTGCGAGGGAAAATGGGAGCCGGAAAGACCAATCTCGTGTGAATAGAACTCCGCCAGTCGTTGCGCTTCAATGCTAATCAAACCATCTAGATCTTCTTTGGTCTCACATCTCCTGGACGCCAGTCCAAAAAATGGAGAACGCATCGCTTTCTTTTACGTCGACGAAGCCAACCGGGCAAGTGAAGCTAAATCTGCACAACTGATTTTGAATTCGCTGCTCAAGCAACTCTGCACTGGAGGGGCCAAGACGTTCGTCAAGGGGGTGGTAGACAGATATAATGACTTACAGACAGCAAGCTCGAGTCCAGATCGAGAAGATTGCATTTCTCTGCTTGTTGGAATAGTGAAGCAATCCCGACAGACCAATATCATCATTGACGGAATCGATGAGCTGGGAGTCGATGATGACCGAAACGAGTTACTCCAGACTTCGAAAAAGGTCGCCGACGAATCAAGTCCTACCGGGGTCAAGATATTTATTTCCAGTCGAGACCATGTCAATATTTCCACACTTATGGATGAGATTTGGCAAGTCAGGTGGGAACTTTTGATTGATCAGCAGAACCAGCAAGACATCGACAGATTCATCACCAGTCGCGTGCGGACCTTGGAAAAGAGTCTCTTTCTCTCAAGCCCAATCCCAGAGGATGTTAAGAACGAGGTCGAATCAACATTGAAGCAAAGGGCAAGTGGAATGTATGGGTGTCCTCGGCTTATCATGCTGCACGCAGACCAATTGACTAATGGTGTTAGGTTTCTGTGGGTCCATCTATCACTGGAATATTTGCGCAGGATTAAAGCAAAAGAGCCCGATACATTTGTCGCCAAGTTACAGGCTGTGCCTCCGACACCAAAGGCCTCTATTCTTAACTCTTAGCCAACATTTCGAAGGATCAGGACCCCGAAGGGCAAGAACAAATCCGACTGATACTGACACTCCTCGTATATGGTTTGCATAAAGAGTTATCCGAAGTTCCGGTTTTGCTCTCTGCTGTCAACTACAAACCTGGGAAGAAATGGTCAAATCTCACCACCCGAGATGTTCTGGATTTATGCCCTACGATTGTTGAGCTAACCTCCTCATCACCTCAGAAGTTTCGATTGATTCATTTTTCAGTTAAGGAATTCATTCAAACATTAGCAGAGTACAGTCCCGAGACCGCGCATGCTCGCATGGCCGCACATTGCGTGTCTTATCTCAATGATCATCAGCCCTCTAGCCTATGGATACGAACCCCTTCTGCCCCCACCTCCTGGTGGTTGGACAAAAACAAGAATACCTTTGACGCGTACGCCTCAAAATCATGGCTTATTCATTGTGCTCAGGCTGGAAAGCTAAGACAAGAAGCACCTCTTGCAAGATACTTGCAAGGTTTCTGGTCCGCTGAAAACGAGTTTAGGGAGTTTCCTTTTGACAGATGGGTCAAAAGCTTTACCCTGCGGGATCGCAAGTCTCTTTCGCAACTGATCGACGGCGGATACAACGCCCTAGTCGTGGATTCGAAGCCAACGCCCTTCTACCTAGCCTGTCGGTATGACTTCAGAGAGGTCATTGAAGCACTCTTGTCTCTGGGATGGGACATCAACCGACCCGTGGTGACGCAAACCGGGCTTTCCTTTGCATGTGGCGCAAGTCACTTTGAGCTCGCATCTTACCTGATCGAATGTGGCGCGAGTATTACTCAGTCGGCGCTGATATCTGCCATTGAGTCCGGGCAAGCGAGGGTTCTGCAGTTAGTACTCAGTCAGGCTGGGTCAGAGGATATATAGAATGCTATAGAGATAGTTCTGGTCGATCGAGAGCCAGCTTCCCTGTCACGCGAAAATTACCAACAAATAGGTATCTTGGCCGACCAATTCCCAGGCTTTAAATATTCTAGAAAGATCCAAAAACACATGTTCCGTCATGGGCCCAAACTTGTGAACATGCTTATAGCATCCAAAGCCACATTACGTGTCACTGAGAGGACTCTCCGACACCTTTTCCACTTCAGTGAGACCCTCCAAGATGTCGAACAATTTGTCGCGAGCGTGCTGCCGTTTGACAGCCACTTCGTGGCCTCTCAGTCATTTTGGAGTGCACTAGAACACTACTCGGTGGAGCAGGATGCTCGAGAGGTCTTTCGGTATACGCTAGCAATGAATCCGCTGGACTTGTTGACGGTAATATCAGAAAAGGCCGTTCGAGCGGCTCTGGGCAACCCTCGTCATCAGGCGCTGTTCATGGAGCTCCTCTTCAGATCAAATGCAGCCTTGAGGGTTTCCAACGACGTGGTTCTTTGGGCCACCCAGGTTTTTGTTCCAGCTGAATTCAACCTTATCGACATTTTACTTGCTTGCGATTCCACTCCTCGCCAATTCTCTCTCACGGACCTGGAGAAGATCCTTATATCAGGCTGTAGTAGCCAGCATTTGGCGTCATTAGTGTCAAGTGACCCCAACCTTAAGCTTGACCAGGATACATTTACCATGGCCGTACATGCTGCATCATTGAGCGATGCGGATGCGAAAATGCTCCTTGACCGTACACCACATATGACTTTAACCATGGAATTGATGCACGCAGTTCAGTCAGCGGCGGCCGATTGGGCAGTTTATCAGGTGGTGACCACCAACACATCTGAGCAAATCACAGACGAGATCTTGAAATCCGCCCTGGCGACCCGGCGTTCCTTTCAGTTGGTGACCAAGCGAAAGCCGTCTGCTGAGCCGAAAGTCCGGCGGGACCACGAGTGGAAACATATGTCTTTAACCGTGCGTGGACTCCTAAACAGAGCGCCCGATGACTTAATACTGTCTCCAGAGACTGTGGAGCTGGTCTGTGAGTCGCCGGACTGGGTGCTCCAACGGGTGCTGCAGCGTTGGCCCGGAGCCCCTTTGTCCGACCATGCCTTGTGGCTTGCACTGAGAGACTTAGGGCGATCACGAGTCCTCTTGAGGGAGCGTCCTTCCATCGAGCTCTCCGCCGCGCTGCTATCTTCCATCTGCGACGGTTTCGGGCCCGCAAATGTCGAGGGGATTTTCCGCGAGATTCTCACGCTTCGACCAAACGCCGTCATCCCGGAAGATGTTCTCTTCTCGCTAACGGGCCCGGACTGGGACGATGACAAGCTGGCCTCATTCCAGCTTCTTCTCACGCATGAGCCCCAGGTCCCAGTGACGGAGCGCGTACTGGAACAGGCCGTCGCCCTGGGATTCCGCTCTATCCACCTGCTCAAGTCCGTTCTCCATGCTCGACCATCACTTCAAATCAAACCATCCGTGATCTGCCAGGTTGCCTACTACAAGGATTCTGCACTTGGTCCCGAGGAGTACGGAAAGATCATGCGTGAGGCCTTAGCACGATCCAAGGGCTTTCCCTTGGGCGAGAGTGAGATGCTTGCGATCATAGCCGGGTGCTGGCCCGACAGTCTCGGGATCATTTTGTCGGAGAGACGGGACGCGGTGGTCACGGAACGAGTCATTGCGCACCTCGTAGACCACCGGACTCCAAACTGGGACTGTGGTGCCAACGTTCCGGCCTTCGATTTGTTGTTGGATCGGGCGGGCGTGTCCGAGGCTAGACGTCCGGAATGGGAACTTCGCTTTCCGGATCTAGGCGGCCAGTGCCACCACCCACAGGGTGAAGTCTCCGCTCCCGCCGGCTCCTCGAGGATTGATTCCTTGTTCAGGAACGAGTCTGATGATGAGGATGAGGATGATGATAAAAGCGAGAGCTCGGTGTAGCTTAGACAGTGGGAACCGCTACCGCCATACCGGAAGCCCGAGAACTAATTCAACGAGCTGAGTATGTTGAGAACGGTCTAGAAGATTGTCCTTACGTAGTCAAGAAGCTCAAGCGGGCAGAGAGACCCCCGAGGCTCGGACAGTACGGTATCTGATGGTCACCTGCTATGTTGTCTACTTGTCGGCCTGTGGTTGAAAAAACATCCACCACGAGCCTAGGGACAGACCATGAGAAAGAAGCGAGTCTCGAAGACAAACGGATCCAATCGAAGGATTATCGCCGGCTCCACTGGCGCAGGGCGTTGGTGTCAGGAATTCAGATCTCTTTCATTTTCAATCCCGGCTGCAACAAGACTGCTTTCTCTTTCTCTTTTTCTCTTTATGGCTCGATACCGATGCACTAGCATAACCAGTAGCCCGGCTCTTAGATATCTGCGTTATCCACTGACGGAGCTTCATTTCATTTCTTCGAAAGCCAACGCCAACAACCACCGCGATTGGCAGCAAGCGTCGCAGACGCTGATCAAAATATACTCAGGGATAGCAGCACGTGGGTTCACCCTCGCTCCCCAATAGAATAAAAGAGTCTATCACTGTTACGGTCTAGCTTATCGTTTATGCTAAGACAAGTGCCAAGGCGATAGGGCATATACCATAGGGAAGCATAATCGCGCTCCCCGTGACCAAAAATCGAAGAATGGGTAGGTAGTCAATGCAAGAGCCCTACCCATGCAACCCCTCAACAGTAGTAGGGTAGAATCCCAGTGATCATCTCTTGCCATATCCAGCTAGACTGGAATTCATCAAGAACCAGGTAGTACTGTGGCATCTTGGTAGTCCTGTGGGGTCCCCGCACGATGCGGAGGACTTGTGCCCCGTCCAACAAAATGCACTACGCCATGAATCTACTCCGACATGTTGAAATTCGTCGTAGCGAGGAGGCCCCTCTTGCCTCAAGGGCCAGAGAACTACAGTACGCTAAATAACTTAGGTGGGTACTGTCAGCCGTTCCCGAGTAACCCGGGCTACACCGTGGACGATCCGGCAATTCACCGAGCGAGGTTAGTTCACACGCAGATGGGCCCGGTTGGCTCTATTAGCAAAGAACCGCCGAAGATCCTTCCGTCTTTCCCGTCCTTGAGATTTCATCGGTGTCGATATAATCATGTGGTTGGTTCCGGAATAGAGCGCTCGATCCGTGGGATCTAGATATCTACCCACCAGATAGACATCACTACCTACTCTCAACACAATCCTCGTTATAACGAACTAGTCTGTCCATTCCCAATGTAGTGCTTGTAGCAGAGATCCATAGTATACAGATCAACTTCAAGTGGAGATACAGTCGTCGAGTCCTTCCTTGGAAATCGTGATCCTACTAGTCTTCTGATTCTGAATGGAGAGGGGACTGATGAACACTTCACGAGGAATATGGGATAGAGTAGCAGATTGTATACATAATGCTATTATTGATTATGAGTTAAACGTATCAAGGTAGATAAGCTTTTGATCCAACCTCCGACAAGCGGGGGGACAACCCCGAGTCTTCTCTCAGCGTATATACTGTACATCCGAGGGAGCTGGCTTACACCTCCGAGCACTCCCTCCCCGAGGCATTGCACTCGCAGAAGTCCCGGACAAACACATCGGCCAGGTTGCTCGGCATCCAGGTGACGCCCAGCTCGGCGGTCTTGGCGGTGGTGTTGCGGTCCCACACGAGACAGGGCGAGGAGAGAAAATTGTTGATGGTGGGTTCATCCGAGGTCTCCACCGTAAAGACGGGCAGGTTGAAGAAGCAGGTGGGCACGGTGGACGAGGCAGTCAGCACGTCAGTTTCTACGACGCCGCCGTAGGTGCCCGTGGTGTTCTGGCAGGTGTAGGAGTTCGAATACAGGGTCTCAAGGTCGATGCCGTAGGTGTCAGTCAGCTTGGTTAGGTCGTCGCTGCTGATCGGGTCGGTCATGATTTGCTTGACCAGCTCCCACCCGGCGCCGGGGTACTCAAGGGTGTAGCAGTAGTCGCCGATGACAGTGCCGCTGGTGATCGATGAACACTTGCTCGTTGAGTACGCTCCCTTCAGGATGTAGTAGTTGGCCGAAACTAGCGCTGTGCCCACCAGGTACTGACGCACGTAGCCGTTGAAGATCGACTCCATGTTAGACGCCTGCGTGCCCGTGAGCTCGAACATGTATCGCCCATTAAAAAAATTGGCGACTTCGAAGGTGTAGTCGCCCGAGCGCAGGTCTGAAGGCCAAATAGAGATGTCGCCCGTTTCAAAGAGCCTAATTGTCGTGTTGACCACGCTCTCGTACATGGTACTGTAAAGTGTTTGGACCGCTGCCTCCAGCGTGATGGTCTCCGCGTCTGTCGCGTCGGCGCTGGAGACGTCGGAGCCCGCCAGTGAGTAGATCCCACTCAGCGTCCCCATAATCGTCGATGCCGTGTCTGTTTCCGCGTCCAGCGCCGGGATGGCGCTCCCCAGAATGCCCATGACACCACCGACGTTGGTAAGAATTGTTGCCCAGTCGGGCACTGTGGCGCCCGATTTGACCGGAAAATCGTCCACGATGGCGTCGATGCTCAGCGACTCGTTCTGCGTCGCAAAGTCGAACAGGGTCCCGATTTCAGTGATATACTGGTGCGCGTTAGCCACCACGAACTCAGCCCAGTACTCTGCCGACACATTGTAGTCCGAGCAAAATCCTGTGGGGAAGGGGCATTCTCCGTCAGGATAAAGGTCACACTGAGTGGACCCCGCTCCTGTGCTCTTGAACATCTGACGAGTCCATTCGGTCGCTGCACAAGAGGGTTAGCCACACCGACTCCACGGATAGAAAGCGGAATACATACGCGACTTCAGACTATCCTCCACCAGCCAGTTGATATACGCAGCCACCCCTCGTTCCTCACTGGCTTGCAGGCTACTCTCGCTGGTGCTGGGGTCGGAGCAAGTCAGGTTCGTGGAGATGAACTCAGTTTCATCATCGTCTACCTCGGCCTTGAGTTCGATGAGGTACTCCCCAAAGGCTGTGGCGTCGGTGGGAGAGGTGACAAAGGCCTCGAGGTCGATCGCCCACTCGGTCGTACCACCCATGTTCAAACCCTGGTAGTAGGTGGTCCGTGTGCTCTTGGTGATGTTGGTCATGTATCCGACCCACTGCGTCTCGTTGTAGACGATGATGTCGGAATCGCTGCCACTGTCGAAGAGAACCTGCACGGTGGGATTGGTGGCAATGATCTCGTTGATCTCGGCGTTCGCGATATAGCCCGCGGTTTGGGTACAGCGGCCGGGCGTGGCCCCCGAGTCTGGGCCCACATAGGTGCATTCTGGACCAGTGCAGTTCGCTGTGGTCATTTCAAAGGACCGGCCGTAGCTGCTCACTCCGACCATCAACTTGTTGGAGTCCGCCCCGGCTTTGGTCACCATGGATAGGGCATAAGTAGTTTCCGTCAGGTTCACGTGGGAGCGCAGGCAGTTACCGTCCGCACAGCCATCATCGGCCGAGGTGTTTCCGTAATCCCACTGCCCGTGGAGATCATACGTCATATACACAATGAAATCGACAATATCGTTGATACTGGCAACGGGGAAGCCACGAAGGTACCAGTACGAGGCGGGCATCGCAATGGACAGGGTCTTGTCCATGCCAATGGCCGACCGGACTTCCTTCAGGAATGCCACATAATTCGTGCCATCCTCGTCGCTGCCGGCGGGGATGCCCGGGATATCAGGCTCACCAGGATACTCCCAGTCAAAGTCCACCCCGTCAATGCCATACTGAGACACAAAGTCTCCGATATTCTGTGCCAACAGAGCGCAGTTCGTGGAGGTCACGCCCTCGCGGAAGATCGTGTACGTGTCGCTGGAGGTGGAGAAATCCCACCCTCCGAAGGAGACAACTTTCTTGACATCTGTAAGATTGAGGAACTGCTCAAACTGGTCGGTTTGATTAATGCTGATGGAATAGTCGGAGTTAATGGTTCCAAAGGCGAAGATAATGTGAGTGTACTTGCTGGTGTCAATCATGCTGGCATCCATGGTAAGGCAGCTGCGCTCGACGTTGAAGGCTTCGAAATACCCAATTGCAAAGAATTCGTCGGGCGCCGTGGAATTATTGACAATGTCGAGGCCACAGTTCGAGATGCATCCATTTGTGTTGGCTTCCGCAGTACCTGGAGCGCCGGTGGTGGACTCGGTGATAGTACAGAACTCCGGGGTGGTGCCACACTCACCCCAGACATCACAACAAGCGTTGAGCGAGCATGGATTCAGCGTCACCCACTCGTCATAATCGGTGCCATTGGCCGTAGTACCAGGCACCTGGGGACCGCAGGTGGCGCCCGTCACTGGGGCGGGAAAGGGAGGATCCCCGCTACTCAGACAGATGTTCTCGCCCGCTTGGAGGTCATCACATCCCAGCCATCCCCAGGTGTGATTGTTGAATGAGTTGATCTCATCGACGGTCAGGCTGTTTGATGCAGCAATTGTGGAGCACGAGTCACCCGACTCCACCAAGTACGTGTAGCAGGTGCCATTACTGTATGGCTGGGGCGAATAGTCTGGTAAGTCTCCCGAGGAACAGCACACGTACTGACCAACTGCCAGGGTGGAGCAAAGGTCGGAAGCGGTGTTGTAGTCGTAGAATTCCGTGGAAGTGATGCCGCATTCTGTCACCAGGCTCGTACAGGAATCGCCCGAAACCACCTGTACGGTGGAGCAGGTATCGTCGCGAGCAGCGAGGGTGGCGGAATTGGGGGAGTTGGAGAGGAGCGGAGAAACCGTGGTCAGCGTCGCGGTCAAGTCAGTGTTGGAGTCAAACGAGTCAAACCCCGTGACACAGCCTGCCTCGCTCCACGTCTTCACCAGTTGCTGCACCGCAGGAAGGTCTCCATCCAGACTGACGGCCAGTCCAACCATATAGTTGGCGGTAGACCCACAGGACTGTAGAGCCATTTGGTTAAATGACCCCTCGGAGGAAAGAGAGGATCGCATTAACTCCGCTAAGGTAGCAGCGGTGGTAGAAGGGTCATATCTGCCCCCGATATAGAGGCCAATCACAGCCTGCCCGGAGTACGCAAACATGAAGTTTCTGTCCGTGTCAGATACCATGTAAGCTTCCAGATCAGTCAGGGCCTTCTGAAGCCGGTCGTCAGCCGAGTCGATGGCAGATCCCCAAGTACCCAACTCAAAGTTCACAGAAGACGTATTCGAAGTAGAATTTACCACTACTGCGGCTCTCTTCGCTACAGAGGAGGTAGAAGTATCATCTTCTTCCGTGGCACAGGCATAGATGGTTGAGTGGGTCTGGGAATCATTCAATGGGTTGTAAAGAGCGAAGTCGAGCAACATGGGCTGGCTGCAAGTAGCGACTCGACTGACGGAATGGTAGGGAATCCATTCAAAAGGATTGGAGCTCAAGGAGCAGGCCTTCGGACAAGAAGTGGCGCTTGCTGTAGCTGCTCCGGCAAGGGCGCCGGCTGCCAATAAGGCAGGCACATACATGACGATCGTGAAATATGAAAGAATGAATGAAGGAACGACTTAGATTTGAACAAAGAGCATGATGAGGTTGTAAAGAAAGTCTGGTAAAGAAAATGAAGTAAAGGTGAGAAAGAAAGAATGACTGAAGGTAGAGACAAATGAGTGACTGAAAGATGAATTGCTGTGATAGACTCCAGGATTGACAGATCAGTCCCCTTTATATACACCAAAACTCGCTTAGACGTTTCCTGGTCTGCTCTCACGATATCGAACTATTGCAATCTAGGGCATGCCTATGCTGCCAGTGAGTACTCTCGCCCGAAAATGTCTAGTCTACTGCGAACTATGTGGACACGAACAATGTAGAACTAAGCTCCCTTTGCCTTAGTATAAAACGCACTTGAAAAGCAGTGGTCCTCTGGGGCCCATTAAGCGCAGGCTCATCATGTACTGCTGGTTTTGAGGTACAGTAAGTAAGAAACAAGCATTGGTATTTTATTTTTACATTGTGGAATGCTCTTCTCTGGCATAAATAGTAGACGCAGCAAGATTAGAGCATCTATGTGGTATACATGAGACGACATTCACTTCACCCTGCATTTACAAATCTCACCATATTGACAGAAAGTGGGTTCGATACATAGAGCTCCGATGATACTCTACTAGGGTAGTATCTGCTCGATATCAAGACCGAGATCGGCATGCAAAAAGTGTCGTGGTGGAGAAAGGTGAAGGGGAAAGAGGCAATTCGGAGATTGCGGACCCATCTGATGGAAGTGAAATGGTAGACAGAATCAGGTACCGAGTGGAATAGAAAAGGCATTCAGCAAAATGAATGGTACCCTATTCCTTAGTCAATAGGTGGGTGGTAATTATACTATCACAGTAAATAAGCGAGCTGCAATACCTTAACCTTAAGGTCCGGAGCTAACCCGAGTGGGAACTTTCCTCCTAGCTAAAATGGTCTGCCGATTGATTGCCTGATCTAGTTAGAGGCGTACGTCAGCCTCAAGTTTCTATCCGGCTGTTCCGCTCTGGGATCGATCTTGCGAATCTCTGCAGGGTTCATGCACCACCATCGCAGGAATCAGGGGACTCAGGGACCCGGCAGGGTCCTTGTTGCCTCACTTGCATCAAAATACCACGAGTTGCTGATGACTATCATTCTCGAAATATCGGATGCCTGGGTTCAGCACCTCTACTTTCACACGACCGTGAGACCCGAGGTTCACAGGAGCGGCCATGCTAAGCATCGCGCAGCTTTTGGCCATAGAAGGGATTTCCGAGGTGAATCTGCTAGGGGTTAGTCTCACTAGCTCGTCAGGCCAGGATCGGTCTAAGAAGAATTCCAATTCTATTAAGTAACTTCGTGTGGGACTACTGTCATTCATCGCTGGCGTCGGCGAAAGCTTGTGGCGGAAATTCCGCGGTCGATCTGAGACATTCAGCAGGATCTCGCGATCTGTTGAGACTAATGTAGACATCAAATAGCTTATATTGCGGTATGTGAGACCTTGGCATAGCCATGCAGCGATGAGTTTGGAAGCAAGGCTCAAGAGTTAGAATATTCAGACCCTTCTTCCGGTCCCTGAATCATAACAAAGGAGGAGCCTCAGGGGTCAGAATCGACAAGATCTTGAGATTAGGTAACTGGTAACGACTCGGTAACTTTGATTGGGTGTTGGGTGGGCGTCAACGGGGCCATCCGAGATCGGCTCTGATGTCCGTTTCCGGATGTGGTTACGGTCGAAGTAGTCGGATAATTTCTTTGACCGCTGTGATAGGAACGATCCATTGAAAATCCGTCAACTTCGGATTACTTCATCAGACCACTGCAGGCTAACTCGTGACGAGGTAATGCTAAATCTATTAGGTTAAGGGACGGACAGACGACATACAAATAGACGTAAACCGGCTCAACCCTTTCTCAGGCTTTTGGGCTTGCTCTGATATCAGTCAATTGGATAGTCTCCGCAACATACTTGATCAAGTTCTGGTGACAGTATAATATAGGTCCTAGATGTGGTTCTCGAATAATGAATAGTTGACAATACTTATACCAATACTAGAATTCAATATTACGGAGTCACCGAGCCCTTCTCGGGTAAATAGCCGAGACCAAGCACTAAACGGCAAGGCTTGGTTCATGGCTAAGCTACCACAGAAGTTCAAGACCCCACTAGCCCAAGCACTGTTGGGCTACAGGACGAGAAATACCTTATAATTGACCCAAGGCCCAAACTGCCCAGTGGCCTCCACAAGGGAGGCACAATGCGTGTCTCTGTATCAGCTCAGGCTGTGGTCTTCAGCCTCGCCTTTCCCTTCCTCACCACCGCTGCCGATGATGCGAGTTACAATGCTTCCCTGCCCTTTCGACCCAACAACGTGACACTTCTTCACGATCCGTACTACTGGGTGGGCTCGTACTACAATGGGACTACCGAGTTGAAGTTGATGCCCTATACGGGCTTAGCTGGGAACGACAGCGCCCAGTGCCCGTTGCTCGCCAATACCACGACCACCGCACGATATGACACGATCCTCGCCCTTACCGAGCCAAGCATACGCAACAATGGCAGCGACCCTGTGAATGCCTTTCTCATGCTCTGGGACCCTGGCTTTGACTTTTCTACAATCACTAGCTTTGGCTGGCCCCTGGTCGATCTCCCCTTCTTACAATGGAGCTATCTTTCTTCCCAGTTCGTCGCTCTTCCTATCCCTGAGCGACTCCGTCACTCGCCCTTGCCCCTACAAATTCAATCACAGAGTACTGACCATAGGGAGAGGTAGACCGACGTATCGTGATCTATACAACGGAGAAGATTGGTTCTACTGGGAGCTAAACACAACCACTCAGAGCCCACCATACCGTCTCTCGAGCACCATCACTACATACTATAATGGCGCGGGAGCCCTCAGAGCCAACATGACCAACTGCACCAGTACAGAGATAGTTCCCTGGTTAATTGACCTGGGCCCCTGGGCCCCGGACAACAACTTCGCCTATGAGTCTGAATGGCCGGCTATGACGGTTAGTATGGAGTTCGATGGTGAGACGGCAAATTACACTATCCGAGGTTACTTTGATAGCTATCGAATCTACTCGAACGGAACATCAAGATCCGGGGGTGAAATCACCCACGGGCAGTTCACGCTGCGCTTCGCGGGCGTCCTGGATGCCTACCATTCGGACATCCTGGCCAACGACACCGTCACCCCTACCTGGCTGCGCACGGTCGGGTTCAACAACAACTCACTGAATATTGGGTACACGGGGGCTGCAGGGAGGACCATGTCCGCCGGGTCGTCGGTGGCAGCGGCTTTCGCCGCGTTGGTCCTGACGCAAGTGGTGCAGCTCTTCCTTTAATTGATCTCCTTTCTCTCGTTCCTTGCTTCCCCTTCATGGCGTTCTAGAGCTAGATTATTGCGCAGATCCGAGGAAAATCGCGTTCTCCTGCTGTACAATTCTATGATCTGATAATCTCTTAGGAGCTGAAGACCGGATGAACTATGCATGGCCTGCATCGGTTTGACAGAATAGGACTAACAAAGCTATGCTATGCACACAAAGACTGCGTAACACCCAAAGGCTTTTAGGGCACACTAGCCAGGCGCACCACACACAGGCAATAAAGAAATGCTGTGGCAGTCACAATTCTTGACTAGAGGAGAAAAATCTTTCTAGCCAAATTAGAGGAAGTGCATATAGAAGCGTTGGGGTGAAATTAACCCCTCGTTGGGGCTCTCAACTAGTGGGAAACCAGAACTTCCATATTTGGCTTCAACCATTCGTCCAGCATTCCTAAGTGCGGAGACTAGACCCGATCTGACAGGTTGCACTTCAGTCAGGAAGCTTTGTGCTCTGTACTTAGCATGCTTTCGCCTGTGGACTGTGGGCCACAATTCCCTGAGGAAGTAGAGGAGCTGAGCTCAGGGTCAGGGTCACCAGAGATCCGTGGTATTTGGCCGGAGAGTATGTGGTATGTATATATAACAAGGACTCAAGACTCAATCTGGTCCCCGGAAGCGAGCTCCTCAGTCCCTGAGTCCCTGTCCCTGAGCCCCTGTCATCTCCGATGATCGTGCATGAACCCTTTCCAAGCACTGGGTTCATTTGCAGGATTTGCGGGTCCAATGCGGAACAGCCGGAGATAAGTTAGGAGCTGACGTACCCCTCTTACCTGGGACAGGCAATCGATCTGCAACCTTATCATCTGATGGATCTAGGAGTAGATTATCCGTTCCAGTTAGCTCCGGACCTGTAAGTTAGGGCTAGCTTACCGAGTACTACTACTAGGTACCTAGTAGATAGCTTATTTAGCCCAACGAGTACTTCGTCAGGGCTATCTTGCCTACAGCAGAGACAATCGTCCACATCGATGCCGCAAACACAATCCACCTTCCCTGTGAGCGACGCAGATACTGCTTTCGCCGATAGGAGATAGCGAACTCTTGCCAGAATTCGGAAAGGACGAACTATGTGAAACTGCTGGCCAACATGACCACTCGCATTCAAGAAGCCCGTGAGCGTCCGGGTGTCGCCCTCTACAAGACCGAAGAAGAACTGGACAGTGTCCCCGTGAAGTTAATTGACTGGATCACAGCAGACGAGATTCAAGCCTCGTGAAGTAACTCAAAGGTGACAGCCCTCCAAAGAGGGCACAAGGACTAGGGAAAGTCCGGGGAGACCAACGGGTACAGTACAAGCATCACCAGAACTTGCTGCGTTCCATTGCAGGATATCGAAATGTCCTTAATGCGGTTCCCAGCTGTCGTGTCCAGATTAGCTAGCACATCCAACACGTTTTGTGATTCTCAGATTCCAGGTGTCAACTGGAGAAACATCACATTAGAATCGAATAATTCACTTGTCTGTCATTATTCACAGTTTTCCATACACTAAAAGCTTTAGCCGAGCTACGGCCCCCAGCCTCCAGCCCCACCTTTTCGTTCCTGCTTTCCCTTTGAATCGGGACTTTCTCCTAGATTAGCACTGGAAATGGACACTAGAATACTAACGCTGATATCACTGGCAGCTGGGATACCAGTTGTTACTCAACACCTAAAATCGAGTACATAACTGCTTAAGACTCCGCGACCGGCAAGTGCGTCCTTCCTCACTCTAGGACCTTCTAGTGAAGTCTCTGTGACATGATGCTCGTTCTACTACCCGGAGAGATTATTCTCCAGGTGGTATCTTTTCTCGACCCTGAAGATCTCTCGGAGTTAGTCCTCGTATCAAAGGACTACTACTCACTGTTCATCCCCGCTCTCTATGACCAAGTTGTCCTTCCTCTCAATGCTTACTGGGACGATGGATACAGACTCGTGGACGGGAGTGACAAAAATCCCGTACGCCGGTTCTCCCAGGCGATGATCGAAAACCCACTTCTCGCACCCTTGGTCCGCTCCTTGACTCTGTACCCAAGTCATTGTGAGAGATGGAGGTCTCTTACTCTACTCCCGGCCGTGCCGGAGGAGAAATTTCGCGCATTGATGCTGCCATACGGCGATGCGAAACGCAAGCATCGCCGCAAATACCGCGCCTGGAGAAGAGATCTCCGCCCTGATCGAGAACGACAAGACATGTACCATGAGCCCTGGAACTACGAAGATGCCTGGCTGGCATTGCTGTTAGTCCAGGTCCGCCATCTCGAGCAGTTGGCCATCCGCGTGCCGGAAGAACACATGCAGTTCGAATTCGAACACATCCCCCCGACGCAGGGATACACCACGCACTTTGACCGCGTGATCCACTGGGCGAGAAACCCGGCGCTCGGGATCCTCCCGCGGCTCTCGCACGTCTCCCTCCGCGACGGACCGGCATGGTGGGATGAAGGCGCCACCAACGCCGTGCCCCTGAGGCGATTGCTGCCCTACCTACGCATCCCATCTCTCCGCAGCCTCTACATCCGCAACCCCTGTGACAGCTCCCTGCCCCGTCAACTGCTCCGGGAACAGATACCAATACTGTCCTCACTCACGCACCTCGACCTGCAGGGGCCGTCAGATGCCCTCTCGAACCTCCCCCAATTTCTCGAATGGTGCCCAAACCTCGAGTCGTTCGCCGTGGAGATGGATCGAAACTGGACCCGGCGTGGCGGGGTGGATGTCTCGCAGCTCTACCGTCCGCTCCAAAGGTCGCGAGCCTCCCTTCGCCATCTCCACGTGGCCTTCGCTGGCGTGGCGCGCGAGGTAGAGCAGGACGCGGAGAGTCCCCGGCCGACCTTCTGTGGCAATCTCTCGGGATTTTCGAATCTTCACACGGTGCATATGCGATGGAGCAGCCTGCTGCCTTTCCACGGCAACCGCGCGCTGGAGCCCGCGAAACCCCTTCGAGCCCTCTTGCCGCCCTCATTACAGCACCTATACATTGAAGATTGCCTCGTGCAGGCCTCGTGGGCGCTGGCGAGTGAGCTCGAGGACTTACTCCGATTTCGCCGTGAGGAGGGCGGGCTGCCAGCCCTGCAACGCCTCTTCTGTCAATTTGTCCCCAAGGAGCGCCATCACAACCGAGAGGTGGCGGCATCATCAACGAAGCAGGAGGCTCCGGAGCCAGACCCTGCCTGGGAAGTCCGACTGCGTGGGATGCAGGAGGGATTCAGGGCGCTGGGGGTGTCTCTACGAGTGATCGGACGCGGAGCAAGCGTGTCCTTTCCTCCGGACCGAGCGCTGAGGCACAAATGGCCCATGAGCGAAAATGGCGAATACTGGGACGACGACTAACATTACTAACTTTTTATTAGGATTACGGTCAGATGGGGGGAATGAGAAGGGGTCAGTTTGTCGTGTTTTCCCGGAATCAAAAACAGAACTTTCGATTTGCTAGCACCCTGATTTCAATTCTGTACTCATCGACCGATATTACTTCGCACCAACCATGGTACATTGCTTCAGAGTACCCGGGACTGGACTCAAGCTCCATGAAAGGGGTAGAGAGAGGAGGAATATCTTCTCAGGCACTTGAAGTGTGAAAATTCTGGCTCTTTCAAGCACTAAACATGCGAATACTAACGCCGAAGGCAGTGGGGCGGGTGGGGGTGCTCACATTTCACAAGCCTCTCTGACAGGGTCTTGTCCGTTCTTGGCTACCGGGGACACTTGGAGGTCTGTGACTACTAGTAACTTATTTATCTTCGGACATTAACGGCTCCATTGCGAAATCCACTATGAGTACCCTTCCGATCTCGTATCTAGAATGTATTATCTTGTTGCCCTCGCAATCCGACCGGATCGGCCGGTCCCTTAAAATCCCTTGTCCCTTAAACCTCCGCTCCGGCCCGGAAAACATCCAAGACCCTGAGATCCGATTCGAAGGTTACGACTTCGTAGATTAATTCTCCTTATCTCGCTACCGGACCGACGCATAGGAACTATTGAAAAGCTAGTCCCTTTTCAACGGTGGTGGACCCCCACCCACAACTTAGCCCTAGGTAATGGAGTAAAGGCAACCACGAAACCGCTTCATGCTTCCAATATTTTTCACGCCAGTATCCAATATATTGGCAATTTGTCTACTCAGCCGGCTTAATCTTTTCCCGGTGAATTCTCTAGCGGAAAGGGCTGTTGAATGATGGAGAGGCCGTGCTATGAACCTGTCGCCGTAGTCCGAAATGAGACTTTCAGCCCGGTGCTAAAGTCGAGGGGAAAAGAAAAACAGCTTGTATCTATCTATTCTACATGGTAATGTGCGCATATTTGAGACATGAATGGAATGGATAATCAATCCAACCCTGCGCAAGGATGCAAAAGGGGTGAGATGAGGAACAGAAGTCAACCGTGACAGACACAGCAGACCCGATGCCCCGATCTTGACTGCGAATTGCGAAAACTCTTCTACCACCCCGGACACTTCCTTACCTATCTTCCTCTCTTCGACTGTCATTCTTATATCTACCAATCTCGCTGCCAGAACACCCACCCACTTGCCCAGGATTCGTTCTCTCTCTTTCCCAGAGTTCAGCCAGGTTTCGCTTCGCCGCCATAGCCTTTTCTCTTCCTATCACAAAAGGTCCCACGATGAGGCTTGCTTCATTCTTCTCCCTTGTCCTCCTCAGCGAGGCAGTCGGCCGTGTCTCAGGCAACAGCTGTCTGGACCGGGTCTCCGCGAACACGATGGCGGTGTTCAGCGGCGCGCCGTTCGCGCTGGCTCCCCGGTACGACAACGGGTCGGCCTGCGCCGGCTACTGCGACGGCCTGGCGGAGTGCCACGCGTGGTTGTACAGCGCGCGAGGCGGCGACTGCCAGCTCTACAAGAAGACCGCCCTTTCCACGTTCCCGTCCCAGCATTTCATGTATGGTGTCTGCGGTGGTGGTGGTGGTGGTGGTGGTGGTGGTGGTGATGGTGGTGGTGAGAGCCGTCGCCTGCCGTCGGCGACGGCTGCTTCTGTCACTGCCAGTTCAGCCGTTGTCGGGGTGGTTGGGTCGCCTACGAGCTCTGATAGCGGCATTCCCACGCCGGCGGCGTTTTTAGTGGCGAGTGGTATCAGCAATGGTCATGCTTTGAGTGTAAGGGTGATTTCTCCCTTGCTTTGCTTCTTTTCCCTCTTTTCTGGTTTGATTGTTGTTCATACGCTCGAAAGAATTAGTTTAGTCTGAGATCTTGGATACTAAACGCTTCGCGCAGAGAAAGCACCTCGATAACCACCGTCATCACCACCATGGTCATCGCCATTGAGATCTAGTTCGCTACGGGAATCTGTTGGGCTTCTTGTATTCTTTTCTCCTTGTCTCCCTTTTTCTATCTCTTTTTGTTTTATTCTCTTTTTATATTTCTTTTTTTCCCCCGGGATCTCTTCTGTACATACAAGATATGACCCGTTCAGATGTTCTATCCATCTCGTCAGCATGGTCTTACAGTGCAGGAACTTAGAAGAGGGGTGATTCAATTCCTCTTGTAGTCAGAAGATGATGATGTCGGATTAACTTCTTCCCCTTGACGGTCAGTGGATGCTGGCTGCTGGCAGTGTGAGAGGGGTTTCGTCCTATACATATCATGTGTCCATATCTTTCCCTCGGGAAAGCCAACCAGAAGAAAGAAGAGAGAAAATGACTATGGTCCGTTAAGACTATACCCTGGACTCGAGTAGAGGAGAGGAACAGTCAAGATGTAGATGGATAGATGGATGCAAGCACAGAGGCTCTCCTACTGAGTCCTAATGTGCCCCACAGCCCCCCCGCCCACCCCACCTCAGGGCTCGGCAGGGTATCCGGAGGTCCGAACTGATGATCGATCCCTCGGCCGTAAATGAATACGTATACGTATCGATATCTACCCGTCGTCTTCTGCACTCATCATCATCCGGCTCCCCCCCACAATAACACGATGCCAACTCTCCTCTCACCAGCGCACGTGTGGCCTGGCGGTACGGTATCCCGCCTACTGTCCGTCTACACCCCGATAGCGAGCTGAATAAGAATAACATGCCAGAAAAGATCCAAGGCTGGTGCCTGGTTTCAAAGGCACGGTACATGTACTGTGTACATCTGACCGTCGACCCGGCACCGACCCGCCCGGAAGTCGAGTCGATGATCGTCTCACGTGACCGGAAGCCTGGCCCCGAGGCGGATAGGACCCAACGGCGGACTCTGGTGGAGAAACGGGCGGGTGCGGATCAAAGCTTCCGTGATGTACTGTACTGTACTGTACGTATACTCCCATGACATCGCTCTCGCTCCGCTATGCATTAGAGCCATTCATGGAGCGAGCCTATGGACGAGAGACCCGAGGCGCGTCTCTCCATGTCAACAAAGCCGTACGTGTTTTCCCTGTCTTGATCTCTAAATTATAGCCCGACAATCTGTTACCCTAGCATCGACCTGGCATCCGCCGCTCCTGGAGATCATGGCGACGCGCGGAGACCTGCAATCATTTAGCGACGACACCCCAGCCAGCCGAGTGGGCCGAGCGATTCGCCTCGCCCCGGGGTATTTGCGGCGTGAGCAACAGCAGGGTCGGTCGGGTCGACCAGTACATCTGGAAACATCTGGCCGACGTGTCCAAAGACCCCATTCTCATCACCTACCATCATCTTCGCAATGCATGACGACGGCTCTTGCTGCTGCATTCCAGCAGGGGGCGAAGCCCTCAGGGCTTGATTTGAGCTTTGCCCCTTTTGTCTGTTGGAAGTGGAAGTGGAAGGCAAAACGACGCAGACGAACCGAACCATATGCCAAGTTTCGATCCTCCGCCCATCGAGGGAGCTATCGCTTCCTCTTCATACGAATCAAGATAGACTCCTCGTCTAGGATCAAGCTCCAAGCATCGAACACAGCTTGAAAGATCAGCAAGATAGCCTGGAAGCTGTACAAAGACTAGACCCAGGCCTTGTGGGATCATGTCTGGATGGCGATTCCCAGCCTCTTTGGAGAAGTCCCAGAGCTATTTAGAGAATGAAGGCCGAACAGCGATCATGTGAAGCACCTCTGTCTTTGTCAGAAGTTATGTCGATTCTCCTGGTTGGTACTATCTGCTGTACCTACTTAGCTGTTCTCTCGCAAGACAAAAGGCTAATACTATAAGGGGACTTTCGCGTCCTTAGGGGGTGTTTAAAGTCCCTAGGGTTCTGAGACCAAAAGGTTCTTGCTATAATGAGGTTCTTTACTCGGGAATACAACATTCGATGGAGACTCTGACAGTAGGGTTGGGTCATGTTGGATGGTGAAGTGGTCTATGTAGCAGGGGGGGGGACGAAAGCTATGAATTATACCTAGTAGAACTACTTATCCTTCTGTGGCAATATCTTACACTGTGATTCTTTTTGCTGCTAGCAAGATAATTGCATCCCTGCACACACAGACATACACAGTACAGTACATAAGCCCGGGAACCCACCCCAAGCACACCCTACAACCTAATCGAATACGATGCAACACAAAAGGATATGATTTATTATGGTATTATCCACATTCCCCAAATGATCTCCAAGAGAAAAACTCCATCCATCCCAAGCCTACACTTTCTTTCCCACCTAGTACAGAAGACACGAGGCCAAAGGGTTGGTTTACTCCCAAGAGTTGATCTTCATCGTGCCCTTCTCCTGCAGATTCTGGTGCATCTTGAACGCCTGGAAGAGCAGGTGGGGCTCGTGCGCCATGCCCTTCTTGAGGCACTCGAACTCGGCCCGGTCCAGGTAATCGGTGAGGATGGGCTTGTAGTCCGGGTGGGAGCACTTGTCGATGATGACGCGGGCGCGCTCGCGGGGGGAGAGGCCGCGGACGTCGGCGAGACCCTTTATCCCTCTGTTAGTACTATTCAATAAAAACGTAAGAGGGGGAAGGACGTACCTGCTCGGTGACGACAACATCCAGATCATGCTCCGTCTGGTCGATGTGGGTACAGAAGGGGACGATGCAGCTGACACCGGTGGGGTCCACCTTGCTGGGCCGGGTACTGGGGGTGTGCATGATACTGTACTTGCTGGAGCGCAGGAAGTCGGCCGAGCCGCCGAGGCCGTTCAGCATGCGCGAGCCCATCACGCAGGTGCTGTTGGCGTGGGCGTAGATGTCCACCTCGACGGGGGTGTTCATGCCGATGCAGCCCAGCCGTCTGATGATCTCAGGCGAGTTGGAGACCTGCTGCGGGCGGAGGAGGAGCTTGCCCGCGTACCGCTCCCAGTTGTCGTAGAAGCGCTTGAAGCCGTCGGGCGAGAAGCGGATGGAGGTCGCGGTGGCGAAGTCGAGGTTGCCACTGTCGAACAAGTCCAGGAACGAGTCCTGGAGCACCTCGGTCCACACCTTCAGGTTGGTGAAGTCCGCGCCGCCCTTGCTGAGGCCGCCGATGACCGCGTTGGCGATGTTGCCAATGCCCGACTGGATCGGGAGCAGGTTCTGGGGCAGGCGGCCGTGCTTGACCTCGTGCTTGAGGAACTCAATCAGGTTGCTGGCGATGGCCTGCGAGCCGGCGTCCTCGGGGGCGTTGGGCTGCGTCTGGTCCGGGTAGTCGGACTCGACGATGGCGACGACCTTCTCCGGGTCGACGGGGATGTGCGGGGTGCCAATGCGGTCCTCGGGCTGCATGATCAGGTAGGGCTTGCGGAGTGGGGGCTTGTCCGACATGACGATGTCGTGCAGACCCTCGAACGAGGGGCTGGCCGTGTTGACCTCGATGATGATCTTGTCGGCCATCTGGACGAACTCAGGGGAGGCGCCCACCGAGGCACCGGGGATGATGCCGCCGTCCTCCGTGATGGCCGAGGCCTCGATGACGGCCACGTCAAGCCGGTTCTTGGGCTTGTTGAGTGTGTACCAGCCCTATGCCTCGAGAATTAGTACGAGTTCTGCCGTAGACAACCACTCCCATGCCATGGCAACCCCAGAGCCCACAGCCACCTCAACTTCAACCAAAACGAGAAAGGACAACCTACATAAACCAAATCCGAAGGAAACATGCTCAGATGCTTATCGAAGAACTTAATATCCCCGGTGTTGATACCCCTTGCGATCTCCTTGCCGACCTGATGGGGACTCCGCCGCTCGATCATGTTCAACCGCGCCCACCGGTTCTCCGTCTCGGCGCCAGACGAGGCGCCCACGAACAGGCTGTATTTCAACTTGCCCTGGAGGTTGTTCTTCTCGACGTGGTCGGCCAGAGCCGTGGGGACTTTTCTGGGGTCCAGTTAACCTAGGGGCTCGGGTTTGAAGCAAGATCAAATTGCGCAGATCAAGGAGTCCAAAAAAAAGGGACGGGGCAACGCACTTGGGATATCCAACACCCGTGAATCCGGACCAGCCGATGTACGATCCATGGGGGAAGAGGTCAATCAAGTCCTCGGCCTTGGCCAGCTTCTTGAGGTAAGAGGGTCGCCGGACACGGCTTTTTAGGAGGGCGGAGGCTGACATGGTGGGATTGATTCAAGGAAGAGGAGGGGAGAGGAGGGAGGAGGGAGGAGAGGAGAGGAGGGAGAGAAGAAGGGAAGGGAGGAGATGGCAATTGAGGGTGGGTGAGATGGGAGGAAAGGAGGAAAGAGAAAGAGAGGAAAAAAGAAAAAGAGAGGGAAATTTGACAAGAGAAAGAGCAGGCCCCAAGAAAAAGAGGGGAGACGGAGGGATAGAAATACGGTCGAGTTGTCGCTGTCGCTGGAAAATCCACCCCCGCCTCGTTCCACTGCCCCGGTTGATTCGGGGATACGGAGTCAGTCAGACACTGGCTCCATATTCTTAGACTACCTACTAACTGAACTGTACCATCCTGACTACTCACATACACATACGTACTATCTGTAACTAAAGTCCTTCTCACCCCGCAAATGATGAACATCCCCCCAGTCCAGTGCAGTCCACCGTGGGTGATCATTACTCCGCTTCAGCTGCTGTGGAACTTATCGCCGCGCGCGGCGGTTAACGTTATCAGCTCCAGCTCCAGCTCCAGTTCCAGCCCAGCGTCAGGAAGCTCCCCATTTGGCACAATTGGCGGGATTTTCTTTCACTATTACTATAAAGACAATTCTACTATGGATAGTCAGCTGCAGGGGTAAAAGGACAAGCGAGATGAAAAAGCTGCAAGGTGGCCAGATGTAATTCGGGGCGTTGAGGTCTTGTCGCAGAAGTTACGAGGGACAATTCAGTCCATGACCGGTGATTGACGTCATCCCGGCGATTTCTCGGCCCGCCGCCTTCCAGCCCTTCACTTTGGCTTGCATCTTGAGCCTGCTTTCCAGGACTATAAAACTGGAACTATAGAGCATAGAAGACACTCCAATCGAGAAAATAGAATTGAACACAGCACAAATTCTCAAAGAACTCCAACAATGCCAATGTCAATGGAATATTCCATGCCTGAAATCAACGCACCAATAAATCCCGACGGATCTCCGACCACCCCGAACTTGGCCCAGCGACCGGACCAGTCTCGGGCTGTATCGGTTATCGCAACCTTCCCAGTCTCGGCCACACGGAGCTTTTGGGTTCCCCTGCATGGCGATCGGCAGCTTAGCCATGCTCCCTCAGTACCAGAAGTCAAATCATAGCCACCCGGTTAATAACATCTGTCAGCGCGGGTAACTTCTCTACTGGACAGTGTATACTGACTATACTAGTTCACACTAAAACAATCAAATTAGCTACTTCGTTGAGGTATTGCCTGCCGAATTACTTGCACAAACAACATTAGAGAGGTAAGGAAAAGTTCAATCCAAAAGAAAAAAAAAACCATGCCGCATCTAAAATCCATAAATCTACACCGAACTAGACAAAAAGGAAAACCAATTCCTGGGGTTGTGGGTGGCGCGGTGATTGATCCAAAGCTTCCGGCTTGGCTGTGGAAGCAGTAGCAACAGTAGCAACACGCCCGGTCAACCAAACTTGCCTTAACCGCTCTACTCGTATATACCTGAAACCCCAGTACATAAGGACTGATCAAAGAAATGCTCCCATTTGTGCAACCATAGTTAAACGGATCCGCTCATCATGGGTTCGAAAGCGAAAGACCGATGGAAAGAAATAGCAGCTTCAAAAATTTTGTTAGTTTTTCAAAGCCACGTCTCCCACCCCCAATCACCCAAATATGAATAAGAAGGCTTTCCGCACAACCATACCGTCTCCTCGAAACAGTAGACAAATTATCCAAATGGCCAATAGCGCTCGTACTCAGCCTTCTCCTCGTCAGTCTCAGCTAACTGCTCCAAGATCAAGCCTTTGACTTCGTTGAGGGCAGCTTTGCAATCATTGTATCGCTCGTGCTCGATGAAGCCCTTGTCCGGCCACAGATCGCCCATCTTCTCCTTGACTTCTGCCACAAGCTCGGTTCCTGCCACTGCACCATCGCTATCCATTTTGATCCGCTCGATCTCTGCTTCCGAAAAGTTGAACGGGAATGGGGTATCGCTGGTGACAGCAGGGAGGTCCGTCCACGTGTCTTTCAGATCCACCAGAAGCGACTGGAAGTGCGCCTCGCCGTATTCGAACATTCGGTGGGCCAGAAATATCAGCCCGTATGCTGCTGTCCTCCGGAATTCGACTACCCGGTATAAGTCGGGGTTTTTGGCATGCATGAGCTTCCGCCATGCGATGAACACGTTTTGGATGGAATACTCTTGGACAGCAGCCGACCAGTCCTCAGGCGAAAGCCCGCAGAGGTCGGGCCGTGGCGCCAGATCCAGCGTTTCAGGCTCAAGGCCATCCCAGTCGAGGAAGGCTGGGTCGGGATTATGGTTGAAGAGGGGCGAGATGTGACAAGACTGCCAGTCGATGATACCCGTAATCTCTCCGGGATTCTGCGGGTCTACGAAGACGTTGTCGTCATGCAAATCATTATGCCAGAGGCAGGGTCGTGTGATGGCTGCATCTTTGGAAATTAGAGCATCAACGATTTGTTGGTACCATGCTAAAGCAGTAAGTTTATTTTCCGTGTCGGGTCGGTATAGCTTTGGGCCGCAGAATAAAGCAACCGTTTTTGGAGGTTCTAGAGACTGGATTGCCTTCACCTCTCGTGTCCCGACTGCTTGCAGATACTGCGTTAGAGAAGCCCCTGTAAACTGATCAGCGACTATACAGCGAGTGACGTAAACCACAACGTACATGGCCCCTTGTCGACATCTAGATCTGAGCGGCCTGCGTCACACCAGTCCCGGCCTGTAGCCGGACCAATGGCAAAGCTCGAATTTCTCACAGCCTTGCCATCCTTGACGAAGTGGTTGCCTGCTGGTGGCTGCAATTCTTCCGTGTAATACAAGCTGCCGTAATGCGAGAATGAGACGTTCGGCCAGTGCTTCTGGAGACGTGTCATGGCGAGAAGCACTTGGAGCTTCTGCGGTAATTTCATAGTGCTCCAGACTTGGGAGAGCGGAACACCTTCTATTTTTTCCATAATGATAAACTCAGCGCCCACGGGGTGCGATTTGGCTTGCGAGTTCCGCGTAGACACGAGGCGCTGGGGCCTCAAGAAATTTTCTAGCCTCCCCGGATCAAACGAGTTAGCAAGACTTGGATGTTGTTGGTGTTCAGGATGAACTTACAAAGTCCATCGTGGCGACTTCACTAGCAGTAGTGGAGTGTGGAATGCCAGCATTCGGGTTGGGAATCTTGGCTATAACTTCTTGACCATTGTCCATAGTCATGAGGAACGCTTTGTTGAACATGCCGTCAGGGTACTTTTCGATGGCAATGCATCGCGCGGCTCCAACCGACTGTGCTGCGACCCTTGCGAGGCTATTCATGTCGAATCTGATCTCTCGCTCTCGAGCATTCTCTGCCTCATCAACAATGAAGCGGCCACGAGTGAATTTTAAGAAATTATTGTGAGAATTCCAATCTATACGAATGAGTGATATGCTGAGTCGCGCTCTAACGGGCTTGCATACCTATCTGAGAAGCTCCCGTGTCTATGCTTATGGGATAGTAATAGTAGAATAATAATAATACTTAAGAGATTGAGCGGCAGTGTCTTTTCGGGCTTGGTATCATACTCTGAACGTAGCCCCAGGGACGCGCGGATGGAGATCGGCGCATTGCTCACGAAATGTACATAATGCCTTGATCTTGCCAGTCATCGGCGTCGAGAAGCCAAGGTGTACGAATCGGATCAATTAAGGGAATGCTTTGTCGCTGCGCGAAATGAGAGATGACAATGCTGGTGTTGAGTACTGTAGATCCAGATGCTTGATGACCCGAGCGGTGGGTGGGACCCGTGACCCGTGGGGCGGTAGTCAGGCACGGCTGCCTAGGCGATGAGGAACTGCCGGCTGCAGCCGCGGTATTCAAAGCAAGCGAAGCTTCGCTCCAGCCAGTACCTTAAGGTAGCTTACCTAGTACCTACTACGGGTAGTACTATGCTTTCTTTCGCTTTCCATCACGGCAGAGTACTTCATTAAGCATCATTCGCCTTCATCTTCCAGTCATCAACCAATATCAATAATGCCACCACTGATGGTGCCATCCTGATGGTGACACAGGCTTGTACGCCAAAGCCGCTCCTGGACTTTGTCCGCGGTCGGCATGATCTCCTAAATCACCCTCTACTATGGACTTGGAAGCATCTCGAATCGCTGGGATGCCAATTCGACGATCTTGAGACGTCCGCTTACTCCGAGTCCGCGCCGAAGGATTCCCAGGGTACTGCCGATGCTGAAGCGCTAGCTCGTCGTCTGTTTCCCGAGGTGAAGCTCCGTTCTCTCTGCAGACTCTTGTTAGGCGAGGGGCGGGATTTCGCACGCGCTCGGTAAGAGGCACAGCCATTATAATGGTATTATCCTCCCACTAACATATCTGCGGAGCAGCCAAGGGTCCCACTTCTACTTCCAAGGCCGGCCGATCCACCGCCCATCTTATATGGCGTTCTATCGTCGTGAAGCCCCACTCGATAATAGCTCGCCGCCGCTGGTGGGCTACATACATTATACCGATCTCAATGAAGACCGCATAGACCATTGCGAGGGCCTTGCCCGAGCAAGCAGAGTGCCTGGTCGGCGTCAAAAACTTCTCGCTCTCATAGCTCCAAGGGACTGGACCGAAGACCCTTACTTCCATTTCATTCTGCTGGCTCTTGCACAGCGTCAACGCGTTCTCAGACTCAGATCCCCCGGACCAGAACTAGAAAGTCGCTTTGTTGTACGTTCACCCGCCTGCTCATCTTCTGGCTAATACCATGCTAACTAATCCTTGTTCATGCTCTCCCCAGTCTCGTCTTGTTGTGACGCACGCTTTAGATCAGGAATCAATACTCCTCTGTGAAGCTGCAATCACCACCGATATTCTTGACGCGCTCGGAAACCTGAAGTCTGCCGTAATGCCCATAACGTGGCCTACGATTCATCGGAAGATGATTCCTTACAAGCCATATGACACCTTTGCCGGCCGCCTCAGGGACCAGCTAGTGGTATCCAGTCCATCGAAACTTTTCGACCATGTGAACGATGCCACCAGCTATGAAACGAAAAGACGCCAAGGAATGGACGACGATGGGGAAGACGACTGTTCCACGGAAAATTCGGCGAATACCCGACACATGAGCTGGTGAAATGGCGCGAACAGGAGTGAAAGATTGTTCTGGAGCAAGGAGCGATCGAGTCTTCACAAATACAAGTAATCATGTCAGGGTTGAGGATGGCGGGCCTATCATCTACCGAGACTGGATACGTTTGAGTAGCTATGAGGGTACCTAGTCTGTACTCATGGCGACTTATGCTCCTAACATGATGTGATATACTCAACACACTTGACCTTCTTGCTGAAGTACTTGGCCTACAGATCAACTCGCAGTATCACCTCGCCAATGGGGGAAAGGCCCCAAAACAGAAAGCTCAGCAGCTTGTGCGCATGATCGCGTTCTGCCAACGGTTCTCTCCCATCCACGAATGTCAGTTATCCATCTTGACTTTCCTCGACGTGAAAGTACCTATCGGCTACTCAGCCACGGGAACTCTGAAAACAAAAAAGCGTCGGGAACTCGCGAGACTGCGGAATAGCTGGGGTTCGGGTCATTGCGGATCTTGGAGACATGACTTTCAAGAGCATTTTCCTGAGCACCGGTCGGGACCTTTTCTCCTGTCGCAGAGAAGAAGACAGACGCAGGCAGAAGATGAAGGAAGACGGAGAAAAAAAGAGTAGACGGGAGCGAAGCTGAAGGATACGCGCCCGACATACAATTTTGGCGGCACTCATGCGCTAATTCTCATCTGAAGTCGCAACAATGGAGTTTGTACGATATTGAACCATAAATCCTCGCAGTATAATAACAGTAACTTGTGCACTTTCAGGCCCGCACAATCCTCGGAGTCCCAACACCTCACGTGTATGCTTGGAATGCAGACGTGGGTAATCCTGTCGGGTCTGAGTATATTATAATGGAGGAAGCCTCCGGGACGAGACTGGAAGATCTATGGGATGATTACTCTCTCGAAGAGAAGATCGCAGTCATTAAGGATCTCGTGCAACTGGAGAGAAAAATGCTTCAAGTGCCACTGAATCGGTAATGCTTCCCCAATTTTCTCGTCAAGTCTGATCTAGTATCATCTTATTAATGATGACTAATAAGCTATGGGAGCTTGTACTATGCCGGCGCCAATATCAGAGGTGCCGTGCCAGCCGATACCTGTGCAGAAATACCTGCTGAGCTCAAATACACAATACGCCGTCGTTTTGTTATTGGCCCGCTCGCAGAAAGACACTATTGGTCCAAAGAACGTGCAGAGATGACCTTGGACCGAGGACCATGTTTGTTACCTTGTTATTGTTCTCCTTTCCCGTCCTAACTAATACTCTGTGGTTGAAAAAAGGGAAACAAACAACCACAGGACTATGTGCTTTCTCTAGCTTACCGAGAAGAGGCATGGATCCAACAATACGCAACTCCAAGAGCCGAAAACGACCCGCTAGCAACCTCAGCAACGCAGAACTCTCCTAGCAGTCACATTTCTCTACTGCAGAAATATCGTCAGGTTGCCCCTTATCTGCTCCCGGATGATCCTGTCGTGGTTGCACCCTACATCTGGCATACCGATCTGCACGCGGGGAACATCTTTATTTATAATGGTAAGATCTCGAGTGTAATAGACTGGCAAGGGCTCTGGGCAGCACCCTTAATCATTCAAGCACGTCACCCAAGGCTAGTCGATTACAATGGTGAAGTTATCCTGAAAGCCCCCGAAAACTTCAAGCAGCTGGATCTGGCGGAAAAGGCTCGGATCAGAGGCCTTATGAGTTGCTCAATCCTGCTTTATCTCTACGAGAAACAGATTGCCAGAGAGCTACCCCTACTTAATAAAATCCTTCGATTTGATCACGGTCGGACAAGATGCAATCCGGTTCTGTTCGTGGGCGATACATGGGAGGACGACCTTCTCCCCTTTCGGGAATCGCTGATTAGGCTTGAGAGGTAAGGAACAGCATGTTCTTCGCATAACTGTCCCCTGTTTTATTATGCGTTTCTTCTCTTCATTTTTTGGGGGGGGGGTTTCTTTTCCCTTCCGCTAAAATCATCATGCTTCCAGATGCTGGAATGAATTAGGGTTTGACTGTCCATGTCCGATCCATTTCACCGAGGATGATCTTCGGGTCCATGCAGAAGAAAGTGCCGGGTGGAATGATGTGCAAGACTTCTGGAATTCCTTCGCAGACGTCGTATCGAGAGATGGCTGCACCCCGCACCATTTATATGGGGATGCCGTTTCGCTGTTTACAGAGCTACGAGATATTGGCCTGAAAGCTATAGTAGGAAAGAAGAGGGATGCATTTGAGATCTAGACCCAATGGGTCAAGAAGCATTAGCACTACTATCCAAAAACAAGTACTCATAGTGCTATAAGCAGGCCATGGACTATCTCGGCGTTCTTAAATAGTCCGGCCATGCCAGGCTGCTTTATATGTGGATATCTTATGAAGGTCAACTAATCAAGTACTAAGGTATCCAGATATTACCCATCCCGAAGCTTTATCTAATCCCTTGCGGATTATAAGACTAGAGACTCTTAGAGTTTTACGATAAGTCCTTTTATATATATATTTTTTAACCATTAAGCTCATTGCTTTGTACAACTACCGATAGTTATTTAGTCACTTGAGATCACTAAGCTCCTATGTCTCCTAAAAGGTCCATGTATTAAGTAGTTAAAACTATACGTCTTCTTATTGAAAGGTTATCAAAGCAGACTTGTAAGAGACCGAATCCATGTGTCCTTTATAACCAGATCTGTTAATCTATTGAGTAAGATGCTGCCCACCGAGGTTTATTGTTAGAAGGTATAAAAAAGCAACTTGCGATAGCGAATTTGTGTCAGAACTGATGTGCTGCTATCTGACAGAAGAAGCCTTTGCATGAGATCAATCGCTGCAAAAAAAGCAGAGACTGCTGCTATTGGCAAGAGCCTTTTAGAACCACAGGGACTCTCCAAAGACTTGTTACTAGTTTGACTATATCGGCAATTCCTCAGCCATCCGGCCATGTGATCCAGCGCGGTTACCAGGCTGCTTTACATATTAATACCTGAGATAGTTTGTCGATGACGAACGTAATACTGATGGAATCACTTTGCGCAAAGAGGAAAGCTTGATGCCTTGGGATTTGTTGAATTATGAAGGAAGGAAGGAAGGAAGGAAGGAATTCTCCACAAATTCATGCTGTTGACATATTCCCAGTTCGATTTGAAATCATGTGACCTCGCTGGACCGAGGCGTTACAACGCACAACGCACAACGCTGATATAGGTCAACCATCAGCCAAACCATCCAAAAATCAAGAAATTTATTATATAGTGAACCAGCCCACCCCTAAGACCTCAGATTACAGAGAGGTTATAAGCCCAGAGCCTCTTGGGCCCTGGGATACGCCCTTTTATACATGTATTCTTTCTAAGAGGTTAAATCTAATACTTTCTATAACTACTAAGGTACTGAGATATCCCATATGACCAAGACAATGTGTCTCTCCTCGAAGATCTATGCATTCCTTTGTTGGTAAGATGTAAGCATTGATATAGCTTTCTATTGATATCGATCTATTTCTTTATCAATGTAAGTCGGAAAGAGGCCAAATCCATACATCCTTTACATCTTCCGTCCTTGACACTGAATGCGTTTCTCAAGATGCCTGTCGAGGCTTATCGTTACCAAGTATCCAAAAAGAAACTGCCGTATAAAGTTATATAAGAACTAGATTACTGCAAGGCTGCGAAGCGAGCGCGCCGCCGTTCAAGCCGAGGTAAACCTTTGGTAAGAGGAAGGGTTTTTCTTACACGTGAGAAACTCCTACCACGAGGATAAGAAGAGCTGCTACCAAAAGCGTCTTGTATAAAGCCACGAGGCGGTCATCAAAGCCTTGGTTTGAGATCCAGAGGGGCTTTTGCTTATTCTACAAGCCAGATGAGTTTCCGCGGCCTTGATATGACTATACATTCCAGTTTTTTTATATCTGCTTGAGGAGATCGCCGTGGCTCTATCGAAGGGAGAAGTTGTTGTTCCTATTCATCCGATTATAGACGACGACAGGAAGGGGTCACCAGGCTGCTTGACGTGTGGATACCTTGGTGAACCGATTGCCAAGAGATTAAGATATTTTTCTATGTTACCCATTCCCGCGCTTTGGTTGAATCGCTCACAGACTAGGGACTCGGCTTCATCATCAAAATTCAAAAATAACCCAATTTTATAAGCAGAGAAGCCCAGCACTACACCACCCCTACACAAATCCACTGAGCCACATGAGAGTACAAGGGTTGTAAGCATGTATAAACACTTTGCGAAATGCCAGATAGATCTAGGAGTTACCGAGTCAGTTGCATTGTACAACTCTTATAGAAGATTAAAGGTAAAAGATCCTCGACTAAGAATAGAAAAAAGGTTGAACACAAATTAAACCAAAGGATGTTTGACCCTTGTTACAGGTTCTAAACACTAATCTGACTATGCGTTCCGGCCCGGCAGCCCTAAAACTAACTTAACACTGAGACAGGTTTCACGCCGGGTCAAATCAAACTACCTCTCTACCCCTCTACTCGTATACGACTGAAATCCCAGCAGATAAAGGGCTGATCAAAGAAGGATTCCCATTCGTGCAACCATAGATAGTAAAACCGTATCCGCTCATCATGGACCTGAAAGCGAAAGACCGACAGCAAATAAGAAAAAAAAAAAAGTACAGACATCAATAATGACAAGGAACCTGGAACCTGGCGGGATTCAATCCGGTCCGAAGAATGTGAGAAAAGGAAAAATAAAGTTTACATGCCACACATTTACGCCGCCCCGGGGATGGGAGAAGAAACGAATATCTCGCGTCAACAGAAAAAGTCAACATAGGCTCTTCCCCCGCTAGTTGGTTTATCAATCATCATCATAATCCCCTCCCAACCGTAGTACACCCACCCATCGGAAGTCATTCCCCGCCCCCGCCCCCGCCCCTCCCCGGTGCAGCCTCACTACTCCTTGGGCTCGGATGCAGGCGGCGCGACGTCCGTCATCTCTGCATCTGCCTGGTCGTCCTTAGCGTCGGACGCTGGCCCCGCGGACGCTGCAGCTGCACCACTCTGGTCGCCTTCCGGTCCATTGATCCACGAACGGAACCGCTGGTTGGACTCGTCCACCTGATCCTTGCTCAGCCCGTGCGCCCAGCTAGGGTTGTTCACCAGCTTCTCCATGAACCGGTCCCGCCGTCGTTCCTTGACGGCTGCGTCTTCCTTGGCTACCTCTTCGGCGGATTCGTCCGTCGAGGTGGTGGGCCGCCACCACCAGTCGGAACTGCCGGGCTCGTACAGAATGTGGTAGCTGTTGGCGCAGATGCGGATGATCAGCCCGTCCTGGTGCACTAACGGCCGGTAGTACCGGTTGTACTCCTCCTCTTGCTCCAGCTTGGCCGGCAGGTTCCGCTTCAGGAACGGCATGCGCATCTGCGAGAACGCCACGCCTTCCGTCGGATCCCGCATGGTATACGCCGACACGTAGTACGACCAGCGCGCTTCGGGGCTAAGCTCCTCATTCTCCAGTGTGGCGTCCTCGGGAGTCAACAGCTGCACAGCAGCCTTCTTGCTGCCAGGGTGCTGCAGGGATGATTAGCACGAATACCTTCAAATAGAAACAAAAAAAAAACCACTTACGTATGTGATGCGGTACATGTCTCCATCCTTCACCAGCCGCTCGACTTGCTTGCGGTACTGGATCTCTTGGTTGTGAGTGGTCTCCTCCCGATCACGCTCCTTGAAGAAGAGGTTCATGATATCAGAGCTGCGGTCCTTCGAATCACCACTGAAGATGGCTCCCGCGAATTTCGAGATACCCGTGAACATCTTCTCCAGGTTGTACAACTGATACCCACTCCGCAAGTAGTACCGGCGGAGCGTCTCCTCCAGATGCGTGGTTTCCATGTCACCCTTGATCACCTCCTCGCACATCCGAACGATCTGTTGGTAGAGGTTGGCCTTCGGGTCGCAGTCGTAGAAGAAGTCGGTGGGGAACTTGTCAATAAGGTTGAGCTCCTGCGCCGGCTTTCCGACCAGCGCACGCCGCACATCGTCATGGGCATCCTTCTCGTGCAACTTGATGCGGAGCAGGCGCGAATACAAGATCTCGAACGTGCGGAAGAAACAGTAGATGTTCAGGTTGGCGTACAAGTGATGCACCTTCTTTTCGTAGGTCTCGTTGAGGTTATACTCCCGTTGCTGGTTGAAGTTACCCTGTCCCGGATGCTCCATCCATTTCAACTCGGCCACATCGAAGGACTCGGCGGGGTCAGGAATCGGGGTCGAGGGAACCAGAACAGCATCAGGCGTGCCATCGCGACTGTTTGGGGCACTCCCTTCCTTCTCGGCCCGATGGACCTTTTCACCGGCACGTTCTAAGACATCGCGGAGAAGACCCATCTTCTTTCCGGCACCACCCTTACGACTGCGGGGAGTGGAAGCATCATCCGCAGCCAGACTCTCATCATCGCCCTCGTCGATCGGCGGCGTACCGCTCGACAGTTCATTCATGTAGACATGGAAAGTATCCCGATCCATACCGAAGAATACTGGAATGAAGTCTTTGATGAAGGTCATCACCTTTTGAGGATCGGCTCCGAACCCAGCCGAGTTCCGGTCGATGAAGGTGAGCAGCAAGTGTGTCGCGTCGATCAAGACAGCCGGATCCGCAAACGTGTACTCAAACTGATGTCGAGGGACCTGGTACCCGCCCTTGCGCAGGTTTCGACCCTCTTCAAATTTGTTCTGGATTTCGGTCTGGATGTGTTTCGCCACAAAGAGCTTCTTGTCGGTACCCTTGCTGGCGATCGCTTGGTGATCCAAACTCCGCCAGTAGGCCTTCTGCATCTGCTCGCGCCAGATTTTGTCCCATTCGCGCTGGCTGGCTTTCCACTCCTCACATTTCTGTTTCAGGCGGAACAGGATGATGGGTAGAACATGGCACGGCCTCTCGAACATCTCTTTGATGATCTTCTCACCACGCTGGCGGTCATAGATCTTCTTGATCACACGCTGATAGATGGCTTCACTCTGACCGCCCAAACCAGGGGGCAGTTTGAAGGCAGCACGCTCCGCATCACTCATAACAAGGAACTGCTGCACAATTGGCTCGATGAGCTGGATTGTGCGCGTGCAAGCCTCGATATGATGATCGTAGTCGTGTCGATCTTCTTCAATGCGATGCAGAGCATCCTCGAACTGATTCTTACGGTGAGCCACGAAACCAGAGTCCTCAGAGGCCCACGTGGGGTGAGAGGCCCATTCGTCGTTCAGAACACTGTAGCACAATTGATCGCGGCCACTGCAAGGCTTCTGCCGTTCGCGCTTTGGCAATAATCGGTAGCTCGGCCCGAGGGAGCGACAGTGTGAGAGATTAACCACGCCCGGCTCTTGTTTCGCCTTGACGTCAACAATTTTGTCTTCAGGTTCATCAACATGCATAAAGCGCTTAAACCAAGCCATGAGCTCGGGATTGGCACCAATGTAGTTGGCAGCTCTCTTAACGAGAACGTGTCTGTCGATCAAGTCCGTAGAGTAGAGATTACAGAGCTTGAGGAACTCACTGAATGTCTGCTTATTTCCAATATACTTCTTCACCCGATCGAAGAAAGCGAACTCCTCTTGAGTTGGCGTCAACGAGAAAGAAGGTTGTATGGGCTCAGGAAGCGCAGGAACAAGGGTTGGCGACACAGCTGGCGCCTCCGCCTGGGACGGTTTATGATGGACCTTGGCTCGCTTCGTTGGGTTAGCGTGATCGCGCAGCAAATAACAGAAAGCACGGCAATATCAAAGTGAATCCAGGGGCAGTCACAGAACGTGGACTCTGGGGGCACATTTAAGAGAGGAAGGTCAGGGTAGCGGTAAGCTCAAAGTGAAGCGTAACTGAAACAGAAGCCTTCTCACCTTGTTAGCAGCACCAGGCTGCATCGCTGGAGCTCGACCAGCCTGAGACTCGGCCATGCGAGCCGCCTCAGCAGAAGGTCCAGAAATCGACGAGCCCATGGTGGAGGGAGCTCCAGGCCCACCCCGCCGTTTCTTGCCGTCCTTTGCGGTGTCCTTGACGTTAAACTGGCCCAAAGGTGGCATCTTCACATCACGGTTGGGAGTTTGTGAGGGAAGGTTAGTTGCGCTTGGATAGCTGGCTTCCCCGCGAAGGTTGCTTGTAGGAGCAGCCTCCTCTGCCTGGCGCGCAGCAGCCTGCTGTTTCGCATGAGCAGCCGACTCAGGCAGAAACTGCTTGAAGTCCTCCAGCAGATCCGGTGCCGTGTTGAACAGCTGGGTCACCTGAGCGTACACGTCCTGGATTGGCTTCGATTCACGCTGGTAGGTTTGTAGGATTTCGAGGAACTGCTTGTAGATCTCAGGAGCGCTTGCGAATCGATTCTGTTGGGGAGGCCCCGATGTTAGACGATGTACTGATGACGAACGTCGAGTGCTGTCATGCTTCTCTCTCACCTTGATTTTATTGACATAGCTGATGGCATGGTTGAACTCTACCGGACCACGCTTGTTCAAGTCGGCCTGAGCGCCTTGAAGCATCCCTGTTCCGACCCCAGCTAGATTGTTCATGGACTGGTTAATATTAGGGCCCTGGGCAGATGGTCCAGCCATGTGCAACAACGAAGGTCTTCCTAAGCCTGCGGCAGCGGCGGAGGGAGCCCCTTGGAGGTGAATGCCACGCTGGTCTGACTGATGGGCCATGGCTGCTGCCCCCGCCGCAGCCTGCTGCTCTTGTTGAGTCGGGAAGTCGAAGTGATGATCCTGGGGCTGGTTCGGTCCCCCCTGCTGTCCGAATATTCCGGGCATTATACGCGACCCAGGAGAGTACGACCCTGGCAGATTGCCCTGGGGTTGGGGCTGAGGCTGCTGGGGCTGCGGTTGAGGCTGCGGTTGTTGCCAGCCAGGACGTGATTGCTCATAGTACTCAGCCCGGCCGTGAGAGGTCATGCCTCCTGAGGGTCCGAGCTCTCCGCTAGACTCCAAGGAGTGTCTTGTACGGGGCATACTCAAGGTGTTTGTGCCTGACGGTGTTGTGACCCGAATGGCATCGGGATTGTCCTCAGTTCCACATTCGATTCGGTATCCGGGTGGCAAGAAAGTGTTGAACCCGGAGATCAAAGTAGGGTGGCCGTTGAACAGGGTTGAGACACGCTGGATGACCCCAGGGGTATCGATTCTACATCTCGTTAGGAGAATGGAAAACATGCCAAGATCAAAGTCCGGGGAGCTTACGCCTGGCTCTTGAAGTCCTTCATGATATCAAGGAAGCGGTTGTAAACGTCAGGCTGATCAACAAATCGAACCTTGACCTGGTCCAGATAGCTGAGCGCATCCTGTTGCAGGATTGTCAGCAATTACCATCTATCATCTCGCGACGGGGCGCAAGAATGAACCACTCACATTCAAGATCGGCTGCTGGCCCTGCTGCTGAGCAGCAAGGGCAGCAACATTGCCAACATTTCCGGGCATTGGAGCGCCTGCCCCGTTGAATCCCAAGATCGGCTGGCCAGGTGGCCCTGCAGGATGCTGCAGGTAAGACCTTGGTGTCCCTTCGCCATGCTGCATCTGTTGACCATATAGTGCGCCTGGACCCCCGGATCCTGGCATGGAGCCCTGAGGTCCATTTGCAGGGTTCGAGCTCAGATTGGAGAGAAGCCCATTGGGGCCATGGATAGAGTTTGGCACTTTGGATGCAACCGGCTGATGCAGAGGGATCGAGGCAGCGCTATGCTGAACTCCGTGATGTTGCTGCTCACGTTGTCGTTCCAGCTGCTGCCGCTCGATCTGCTCGCGTTCGCGCTCGCGCACTTCACGCTCTCTGTGGGCTAGTTCCTCCTGGCGCTGTCTCTCGAGCAGCTCTCGCTCCCGAGAATCCCGCTCACGGTCTCGGCTCAGGGACTGCGGCGAAGGGTGTTGCATTGCCTGACCAATACCCGGTAGCGAGTGACCAGGATTGTGAGAAGGACCCTGAGGGTGTTGTCCGTAGGCAGGAGGTTGGTGTGGGCCGGCGTGACCCTGGCTCAGCTCAGCCAAACCAGGAAGAGAATGGCCGCCGGGCTGATTCGCGGGGTGATAAGGACCTGATGACACCAAGTATATCAGCAAGATGGGCGCTAGCAAAGAACGTCAGTGAAAGCAGAAAGGAGTTCGAACCGCCTGGAGGTGGGAGAACTGGCCCCGTGGGTTGCGCGGATGGACCCTGTTGCGGCTGGGGGTTTTGACTGGAGAAGAAGTCAGGTCAGTGGGAAGGTCTTCACACAAGATATTACACCATCAGGGAATCGCCCCAGATACATACCTGAATGAGCCCATGGGACGAGGTTGTTGGTTCATCTGGTCCATCCCCGGATGCGCTGGCGGGCCACCGGGGTGCCAGTTATCGTTCCCAGAAGAGTTCATGGTCTATGCGCATGAAGAGAATTCCAGCAATATGCCTTGGCGTGGCAAAGAATAGGTCTGTGGCAGACCAGGCAGAGAGAATGGTTTGCTTGTGAGGAAAATGGTGTTGGGGACTCCAACACTGTTTTCCGTTCGGACGGGGGCTTGAGTTTCTGTTCCTCCCAACTCAATTTCACAGCGACATCACTGTGCCGATGCCTGCCAGCTGCAGATAGGGGAAATAGGGACAGGCCTGTGCAGTAATAGGATTGCAAGAAGGCAGAATGAAACAGGATAGATCGACAACGAGAAAAGCTCCACAATATGACAGTCTTAGCTCCTCAATAGTGAGCGAGATCCGTGGTGATGGTTTGCGCGCAACCGATCACGGCTGGTCTCCAGAGTGAAGGCGGAGAGGCATTTGACCACGCTAAGCCATCTTTGGCGATAGCGTCACCCTTCGGATAGAAGGATGTTCCGGAAAAGGCGGTGAAATAAGTGATTGGTCCAGGATGCATGACGCAGCAGTGCCTGGACCGGCTAGTCGGGCTTTGACTTTCCCGACGTCATTGACCTGATCAATCCGGCGTTGACACGCCCGACTTATCCGCCTCCTACAATAGCACCAACCACCAACAACTTGGAACACTGTTGACCTGCCGGCATATTCTACAACTACCTAGTACCTAGTAGCAATTATGACCCCATACTGCCAGCCAATCTGATACATGGTGACACTCAGTAGATTCTGACTATTTCTGACTACTAATTGAATTACTGCATCCCCGCTCTAGCCACAGTGGAAGCGGGTCGGTCGATTAAATCCCTGGCGCACATCGCGCATTCCGAGCACATCGCTGAGTAGAGAAACACGGTCACCCCCTCCACTTTCCGGGATATCTTGTCGTAGCGTGGTTCATTTTTCTAAAGAAGGCTGGTAGGGGACAGAAAAGGGAGAGGGAGAACATATAACAAACCCTCTGGAGGTACCACGTAGTCTTTCTCTATCAAACCATTGAACGCCTCCCAAAAGATTCATCAAGCATCACTGGGTCCACTGTAATAGGGAATATGGAAGCAACGTGGCATCCGAGTGCTCACAGACAGCAAGTGTGGAAAACAGATGGACAAAAGACTTGTAACATCATTGCGCGACCAAGCTCCAATAAAACGAAAGGGGAAGGACTTGAACTTGAACTGGCAACTTAATTTTGGATCTTTCAGATGCTGCTGCTAGGAGTTTCATTTGTCTCATATCTGTCCCATGATTGCTTTGTTTCACATACTGACACGCCCTGTCCAATTATGATTATAGCCACCTGGTCGAAATACTTACAGTGCGGAGAAGACAAAGAGCTATCGCTTCAGTCAGCAAATGGACACCACAGAGTGCAGGGGCAAATGGACTCACGTTGTTGGTAGCAGCAATAGCAATACTGTCCTCATAAGGATGCCAGCTCATATGCAGGATCTTCTTGTTGAAGTCGATCTGGTCCGCATCGGTCTCCTTCTTCATCCGACTGCCAGGGCCGGCCGGGCTACCAGCTCTAGACCCATTCTTCTTTCCATTGGCACCCTTGTTCATCGGTGTCGGCACACCGACCTTCTTAGCCTTGAAAGCAGACTTGTCGGCCTGTAGCACGATCTCCGTCTCCTTGCTCTGGTCGGTGGGGTAGATCATGAAGTTGTTGTTGTAGCTTCCGGTCATGACGTTCTCCGCGTCACCCGAGAATACAACCTCGAACTTGTCAAATATGCTATCGTTCTCGTAGGTGTCGCAGAGGCGGGGTCGCAAGTGCTCGTGGATAGGAATCGTCTTCACAGGTTGTCTCTCCATGTTGACATCCCAGATCTTGACGGTCAGGTAGTCTCTTGACACGATGTATCGACCATCGTGCGAGAATCGTACGTCTGAAATCGAGGAGATGATCTCGGAGAAGAAAGAACGGGAGGAGGCGTCTTCCTCTTGTTCGAATACTAGAAGAGACGTATGTCAAGACGCGGTTTAGCAAGAAGAGGTGGCAGGTACTTACGCTTCGAGTGTTCGTCGCACAATGCTCGCTGCCGCATGTCGGCAAGCTTGATTGTGCCCTTAGAGCTGGCGTACATAAACCAGTTGCAGCTGACTGGGTGGAATTCAGCAGCTGTGATGACTTCCGTAAGTTCCTCCATGTTGGCCGGTTTGATGTCGACGATGTTAAAGCTCTGGTCTTGGATGTTCAGGTTCCACAAATTAATTCGGAGGTCATCGCTGCTAATGAAAGTCTCTCCATCGCTGTTGACGGAGATGCTATTGATGTGATACGCATGCGCGTTGGCATAGGTCCTTCGAGGAACAGCGGCCACGACCGTATCATGATGTGTCATCCGAGGAAGCTTCAACATGGAAGGGTCCTTGAAGTTCAGTCGGGGCGCACGGGGCGCGCCGCCACCACCCACACCCGCGGGAGTCAGCTCGCTCGAGAGGTTGTTCTCCGCCACGACCTTCAGAGACTTGTCGAACACCTTCCACAGCTTTATCGTCTTATCGTTCGTCGAAAGGAGGAAATGAGATGCATTCTGCCGTCTGCACCATTTAATCTTGTTGATCTTTTCTTCGATCTCCAGGGACTTCAGGTAATCAAACTCCGGTTCGTGCGATTGAAACTCGGTGTGGAATTTGTATTCACAAGTTTTTTTCTGCGCGTATCGTTAGATCCGACCGTCGTCAAAGGAAATTGTGGAAGCCAGTACCGTTTCGTTTCTCTCAAACAACACCACCCGTCCGCCCTTGTCACCCGTCGCTAGATAGTTTCCAGTATGGTCGAACTCGACAGTCGAGATAATATCAGCTAGACACCAGGAAAAGATCAGCTATCCGGCGGAGGCCATCAGGGCGTAGTACGGAAGGTCTTCCGAGAGGCAAATGCATGGAAATGGGTCCTAAAGGCGTACCTTCCGTGATGTCCTCAACATCTCCTTTGTCACCGAAGCACCTGGTGTTGGGATTAGTACCACGAACAAAGGCGAATTATACAAATCGAAGAAGGAGGCGCCTCCACACCGGCATATCCAAGTCCTTGCCAGACAGCAAGTTTAAGGGGAAAGAGGGTCGCAGCGGGCTCGAGGGAAGCCTCTCCATGGAAGAGGATACTTGGCAAATGGCACTTACTGCGTGAACTTCCAGGTAGGAGTACCCGGATCCCTGTCTACCATTTTCTTCCGATTCTACCCTTTGTCGGGGCAGTGTCCAGCAGAGCACGAATGAAGATGTCAAGATCCACAGGTCGAGGATCTTGGGTTGAGAAAATTAAGGTGGGGTTTGCCGATATCGATATGGTGCGGAGAGACTCGAGCGGGAGAACTTTTCACGCGAAGATCTATGTGGTGGGCGACTAGAAAGAGGAATCGAGTGATGCGAGTCACGTAGGAACGACGACAAGTTACGCTAAGAAGGTGAAGTTTGCGTGAGGATGAGGTAGGTTCCAATGCTCGGGTAGGAAATGCAACGGGCGGAGAGGAAAGGAATCGAGGCCGTGATATCCGCCGAGAAGGTGAATTGGCAGAGATCGAGTGAGTCACTTGTATGCTGGAGAAGACGAAAGATTGGCAGCCAGAGCTGACAAGATCAGAAGCCAGAAGATAGAGGAAAGAAGAGGAGTTTTTTGGGTGGTCTTTTTTTTTTCGTGGGGGGCGTGGGATTTTAGTCGTGCCTCAAACTCCCTTCTCTCGGGTGCATCAAGATTGGAGTGGGCGGGATTATCTATGAGAAAGAGAAAGAAATCTCAAGGAAACGGCTGAACCCGGCCAGATAGAGTGGCCGATAAAATAGTGGAAAAGCAGAGAGAAGGTGGGAGTTGAAAATGCGGGATGGGGAGAGGGGGGAAGAGGAGGAGGAGGAGGGGAAGTGGGAAGGAAGAGGATGACGATACTGGGCAAGATGGAGGAGGAGAGGAGGAGTGGTGAAGTGCGGTGGTGGTGGTGGTGGTGGTGGTAGTAGTAGTAGTGCTGGTGCTGGTTGAGGTGAGGCGGTGGTTTGGAAACACCCGCCCGTCGGTCGGTGGTGGGTGGTGGACTGGTGGTAGTTGGTGGGGAGGGAGAGGGTAAGTGAGTGAGTGAGTGAGTGAGGAAGGAAAGGATAGGATGGATGGAGTGGCTGCCCGTAATTCTAAAAAACCCACACGCAACAACAAGACAAGTCAACCCAACTTACTCAGAGTAACTTAAGCTGGGCGCTGACATCAACCACTCGTTTTCATTTTCGACACTTTGATAAGGCACGAAGTAGATCAATGAATCTTCCACCATCCTGGGGGTTTGTGTTGAAATATGATTCAATTCTTCATGAAGAGTTATTCTGTCTTACCTTTGTTATTGCTCTTTGCCTCTACTCTCATTGTTCAACCATTTTTCCTTATTCTATTCAAGCATCCGTCCACTTCCTGGTTGTTCTTCTGCACCCGGCCGTGTTGTAGCTAGAGCTTCCAGACCACCACCACCAAGCAGCTAACTAACTACCCACCCAGTAATCACTACGATGGCCATTACTAACAATGAACGATGCAAAATAACTGACCATTCAGCTGCAAAGGATCTTTCCTCATCCATCACAATGGACCGGAGGATCCGTTCGGGCTTGAGTAAAGTGACAAGTGACGGACTTGAGCGATGCTCAGCTCCCAGACTGGGCTCCCACTACCAAATTCCCCATCGGGCGTTTTTAGCTGCCTTGAGAATCAGGGTTTCTTTCCTCCATCACCAGCCCGGCGGCCTGAGGCTCTTCACATGCTTGGATCCCGACCGACGGCGACGCCGTTGAGCCGAACACTGACTACACTACGACGTACTATAACTAACTATAGCTTTTGCGGGAGAAACCAATTCAGTGACAGTTCAGTGACAGTTTGGTGACAGTTTTGATTTTCTTTATCGGCCGATCTCTTTGTTTATTCCCGCCACACTCATTGACAGAAATAGGTTGATCCCACCCATTCTCTCCCCCGCTTGTCACGAACCATGCCCGACAACCAGAAGCGGGGCAACAGTGACGACAAACCCGCCGACCCTCACCGCAAGGAGCCCGAGCCCAAATCCTCCGCCGGGGCCAACGAAGGCGACCAGGATGGCCGTTCGCTAGCCAGTCGCATCCAAGATTCCGCGTCTGGACTCGCCAAAAACGTGTTTTCCACCTCGCGCCAGCCCTCTGCAGAGACCGCTCAATTGCTGGCCGGCAGTGGGAAAGCCTCGTCCGCCTCGTCCTCCTCACAGTCCGCCCTATCAGCAGCGCAACAATATCACGAAACCACCGGATTAAATTCTTCACGGATAGCAGATCCAGCACCGACCACACAATTCGAAGCATTCCGATCATCGTC